AGAATTTATAGCTCTTATTTTTATCGAATTCGTTTGTTTTGTTAAATGGATTTCTGCAAATAAAAACTAAGTATTGTTTAAAATCCATTAAATTCCAGTTAATGGCGAAAATGTATTTCTTAAAAAATACACACATTTCCTTACGACAGCGTCGGAGCTACTGAACAAAACTGCATGCCCTTGTATCTGGCTGCATGCCGCGCTGTTGCCATATGCTATTATTGTTTCCTAAAAGGGTTGTTTTTCTTATTTTTTTTAATATTAAAAGTAAGAAAATTAAGTAAATCAAATTATTTTTGACATATTATTAATTTTTTTGTTATTTTTAAAATTTCAAACAAATAAAATTGAACTATTTATTAAATAATTATAATCGTTCTCTTCTGATTTAAAACAACCTGGCAACTATGGTTCGTAATTACGAATGGCTTGGTTTAAACCACGCCCAATTAAAGTTTGTTTCTTTTTCTCTGATCAGAATATAATTTGTCATCCTTGTCTTCAGCCTTACTTACTTGATTCTATACAGTATACAGAATATTTTTTTTCTCGTCTCTTGTGAAAATATGTTGGTTTGTCATGTTTTAATTTTTGAGGATTTTTAAAAATCTTGAGGGAGCCCTAAAAAATTTTGAATCGAGCTGATATTTTGACAGGGCTCTTACAGCATGTTAAACTAACAAATTTTTACAGGAAACGAGAAAAAAAAAATTCTTTTTTTGGGCCACCCTAATATATACATATATATATACTCTGTATCTCTGAAAACCGGTGCAAGTCCTCGTAACCCTTCCATTGACACCTCAAATAAACAACAAGTCGTTTATACACTTTATGCTACCCTCGGAGGGTGAGCGACACGTGGTCCGTCAGTACCGGAAAGACTTTGTTGGGGTGAACACCGAGGCATAAATTTCGGGATCGCAGTCAAAACATTTTCGACGTCGGGTTATTTCTGGCGGTGTGGTGCCAAAATGGTGAATAAAATCGAGAGAACGGTACGTATGTTTTTTGTGGCGCGTGCTGTTGTAGATAAACATGTTTTTATAAACTTGCTATGTGCTTGTGTTTAGGAAATTGATTTGTTGAATACTAATTACTGTATAAGTATTGGAGGAAGTAAACTGAACTTTTACTTTATTGTTGTTTGGGTGCTTCCAGTGTTAAGTTGCTTAAAATGGTTATTTCACTTTTTAGATCTGTAAGTTATTCTTGAATAAGTATTTAATTTATAAATAACCTACATCTTGCGGAATTATGTATTTGCTCACTTAATGCTACAGCTTAATATCCATTAAAGTAGATAAAAAAAATATTTTCCTGTGTAAACATTTCCGTTAATTTTTTTATTTATAAAATTTATTTTCAATCGCTAATTATAATTACTTATAACAGTAAATAGGTATGCTTTGCCAAAAAAACAACAGGAAAACGCTTATTACAATCAGTGGCGGCTCATGGTATAGAAGGGTTAGGCTACATGAGGTTAATTTTGTCTAAATACGAATAAATTTTCACGTCACGTCCTTTAAAAAAAAATAAAAAAAACAAAACAAAGAAAATATCAAGGCAATCTGTTAAAAATACTAAATATGTTTAGTAATTTTAAAATGGTGTATTGTAATTAGGGGAAGGTGGGGGAATTTTGCGCGGTGGGTAATTTTACGCATAAACAATTCTTCCAGATATGAAGTAAATAATACATTTTTTGAATGTTGCAAACTTGGAAACGTTGCTTTGGGTATACGGGGACTAAAGTGTACCGCAATTAAGCTTGTAGCTTTTAGCTAGTGACCATGGTCACTAGCTAAAAGCTACAAGCTTAAATTTCTGTCCAATCGCTTAAATGTTTATAACACAACTTTATATGATCTTTCCTCGTAATCTGGTGTATGTTTAAATTGTTCAGGTTAACTTTTGGAAAGTTTTTTAGTATCACAATATTTTTCTTGCAATGGGGGTAATTTTACGCTGAAAAATTGGGGTAATTTTGCGCTGCAAAATTTGGCCAATATGGGAGCTTTGGTATACAGGAGCCTATAGATTGTTCAGCATAAACAGTTCCATTTGGGCATACGCGGAGTGTAGCGAAAAAAAACCCCTAAAACTACATATGTGACAAATGTTGCATGTAGACCCTCTTATTTCTAAGAAGAAAAAATTTATTTTTAGTTATTTATTTTTTATTTTGTTTGTTTTGTTTGTTTCATAGAGAAAATAGTTTTGTTTTATTTTTATGTTTTATTATAATAATATTATAGAAATAAACGGTTTATTTAGATACCTACAAATCTTTCTCTATACAGCGCAAATTTTCCCACTATGATGCGCAAAATTACCCTGATAGGTGGGTAATTTTGCGCAAATGCATTATTTAAAAAAATGTAGTTTTTGCATACCAAACATTTTTTTTTATAAATTGCGCATTATATACACATAGTAAACATAGTAGATTATCGCTGGTATTAATTGCAAAATTTCACATTTAAACTTAACAAAGATACTAGAGATTTTGCTTAGATGCGCAGAATTCCCCCACCTTCCCCTATACTATACAATTCATTTCAACATAGTTTAAGAAAATTACAAAATACATTTTACAATTTTACGGAACTGAAGAAAATTCGTTACGCAATATTACAATACATATATTGTTATTTTGTACAACAAATTACACTAAAATATTTAGTAATTTACGATTGATGGTATTGTAATTATACTGCATTTTCTTAGTACTAATTGTAATTCAAATAGCAAATTTTGGTTAGTAATAAAATATATATAGAAATTTTTCAAAATTTCAAATTAAATTCTACAATAGAGAGTTGTAAAATTACTATAAGTATCTGACAAAAACAAAAACATTGTAAAATTGAAACCTTTTTTAAAATTGCAATACAATACAACATTTTGTAATTTTACAAAGGCCTACCCTGACGAGCCGCCACTGGTTACAATGCCTCATAAAATAGGATTTATGAACTTTTATCTGTAATTGCTTTATAACCGCTGGGTTATCCTTATAGTATGCGTATACGCGTCGTCAGGTTAAATTTAATTTGTAATTTAAATTGGCAATTACACCTATACACCGGTGACTTTGTACAAGCATTCAATTATAAAACTCAAAAAATTATTCAATGATTTATTCCAACCATAATTTGCATCTTAATTTTTTTTAATATTACCTATAACAGTTGTGAATGATTTAAAATCTTCCACCATTGCCCAATGCTTGTTATTAAATAATTAGATCTAATGGTATTGTAACTGAACTGAGCTGAACAATAAAAAATATAGTTTAACTCTTTTTGTATTGTATTGAATACTGTTATATTTTTAATAGCTTAATTACAACACCTAAGCTTGGGTAATTTTTTCCGTAACATTTTTTAGTGTTTCAATTTTTGCGTAGGAGTAAAGCCAGCGTGTTAATAAAAAATATAAAGGTTACAGTGGAACAATTCTCAAATCAAAATAGAAAAAAACTCAATAATAATAATATTAATAAATAAACTTCACAATTTACGAGGTGTGTTCAGAAAATATCGTTTTATGAAACAAATATTTATTTATTCGTCTTGTCGCCTTCAAAACATCCCATTGGATATTATGCACATGTGCCAGCTCTTCTTCCAATACTCCAAACACTTCTAAAACTCGATCTTTGGGATAGCCTTTAGTTCTTTCAGCGATGCGCTTTTAATGTCATCTATGCTTGCAAAACGACGGCCCTTTAAGGTTCTCTTTATTTTTGGGAATAGGAAAAAGTCAGACAGAGGCATGTCTGGCGAATATGGAGGCTGGGGCATCATTACAGTATTATTTTTGCCCAAAAATGTTGTTCAAAATTTAACAATTTTAGAACAAATTTTGCTGCCACGCGTTTCATACCCAAAAATTCGAAAAAATTTCATGGGATGAGCCAATCGATATACCAACAATATCAGCTATCTGATAGTTTATAACCATTTCATCCACTTTTTCCATGTTTTTATCGGTTGTTAATGTGCTTGGGCGTTCGGGGCGTTCGTCATCTTCAACGTCTTCACGGCCATCTTGGAAACTCTTATACCACTTGTAAACTCTTGTTTTACTTATAGCAGACTCACTACAGGCCTTTGTTAACATTTCACAGAATTTATTTAATTTTTTAAGCAAAATTGGATACAAATTCTTTGATCCATTTCTTTTAACGAACGAAAAATCGCCGAGCTCATAAAACACGTCTAACCTTAGCGGCTGTCACAGACAAAGTAAACAATGAAAACAGCAAAAGTTTTTATCATACTTCGGGGGCATGTATATATACCAACATAATAAATAAAATTTTATGACAACCGGACCCTCTGAACCCGCGAAATTTAACAATTCCCGTTATTTTCTGAACACACCTCGTACAATACAATTTTTCTGTTTTGATTTGCGAATTGTATACAGAAATAGCATTGTATTTCTTAAATCGCAAGTCTAGCATCACTGTGCAGCACTATAAAGTTTCAAAGGCAATAAATAACTTGCATACACCGGGCGTCAAATAAATAAGGCCTGAGAGCCATTCCCATAGGGAAATAGTAATTGAATATGGTTTTGGTGTTGATAAATTTAATTTAATGGAATTGTATTAAGTCGTCCAGTGATTTATTGTAAATTGCGTTCGAGTCGATTAATAATATTCCACAATGCATGGGAATTATTGAATTCAAATCGCCGAAAGAACTGTGTCAAGTATTGTAGAGGTAAGGAAAACAAAGAAGTATAATCTCACAGGTCTTTAACGTTTTATAACTGTTTAATTTTTTTGTCTGAAGGAATTTACCGCGTATTTGAAATCGATATCCTTAGTAGGAGATTAATTAAAGCAATGAGAAAAAAAACTTACGGTTTTTATAAGAGATGTAATAAAGTATACCTAATACAATGAATGTTATTTTGATCATTTTTCAACTTTTTGATTGAGCAATTCTGATGTCATTATACAAAACAATCTTGTTTTTCAGATGGCTAGTATCGAGGTATCCCTATCAAGCACACCACGTCGAAAAAAGAACGGCAGCCTAAGCCTAGGCTCCTCCATCCGTTCAATCCCCAAGGAACTAGCAGCTAAAGAACTCGAAAACCTTCGCAACGCCTTGCGCGACAAAGAGAACATCATACAGAGCCTGAAGGGCCAACTAACAGTCCCTGGGGTACGCCTCAACGGCATCAGAAACAACAATAATAACAATAACAGTGGCAATATGAATGGCGGCAGCAATAGAGAATTGAGTGAGATTGAGAAAAAACAGGCTGAGGATAGGTTGAATAGGTTGAAGACGGATGTGGATAACAAAAGGTTGGCCATCAAGAATTTGAAGATGGCTTTGGAGAGACTAGATATTACAGAGTAAGTTTACATTTCACCTATTTGATTTGAGATTGTAATAATAATTTTTTCCTAGTAATATTGATGTGAGGATACAACAAGCAGAGTTGGAGTACCAACTGGGTCGCGAAGAATTGAATCTTCTAACGCTTTTAGAAGAAACACGCGCACTTCAGTTTTGTATTGAAGAATCAAACAAAAATTCGTCTGAAGCCCATACTTTATACAGGTAATTAATCAACGTTAGAGTGAAAAATGTTAATCTTACAAACATAATCAAAATTACAGATGTATATTTGGAAATGGTCTTTACTTCCTTCAAGCAATCGAAGTTGATTATGATGTCAAAAGTCCTAAATTTGGAGCTGGCCAAAAAGAAACAACTCCAGGACTTTGGATAGATTGGGCTTTGGAAGATACAGGATTGTGTAAAAATGATAGGTAAGTCCAGAAATACTTTTCTTAAGTTTGCCTTTGTAGTGGTGGTACCAATACAGATTTTTCAGTTTTCATAGTAACACGTTACTATAAATAAATACTTTTATAAATACTTTTTGACAATAATCCACTAGACGTATTTAATGATAATATCAGTTCCAAATAGGGTTGGGACAGTTGAAATTTTCAAATATTTTGAAATATTTTATTTAGTTGGAAAAGTGAAATTTTTAAAAATTTGAAATGAAATTTTCAATCCGAAAATTTCAACATTGCCTGTGAAAGTTTCAGAAATTTCATTTCGCATAAATTTCACATGCGGCCTCCCCTGGGACCTTTAATAATAATTTACAACAGATTCCAAATCGACCAATAAGAACGAGTTATCAAGCGTCTGGGTGTTTTTGTTTAGTTCGGCTTGGATTTGAATACACTATAAGTAATTATTGTTACTTATATGCATAAATTAATTTAAATAATTTAATTCAGTTACTAATTTAATTTGTAAATTAAATCAGACTTTAAATTTTTTTTAAAAGTCATGATTAATTTAAACTTTTACTTTTGCCATAATTATTGCATCGGAAAACGGATTTAAAATGCCTTTGGCTCATAAAATTTTGATGAAGTTTCTTCAATTTTCGTAAAATTTTAGTAAAATATTTAAAAATAATAAATATATATAAATATAAAACAATGAAAGTGGCACAATCTCATTAGCTTACCATAAAGTGCTATATCTCTTTTAGTTTTAGTAATTTAAAAAATATTTTAAAAGGAAATTTCAAGAAATTTGTGATAAACATAGGTATTTACTATTTATATTATTGGTGCAGGGGCCCACAGAGGGGTAGGAGGTAAGAGAGGCAATTTGCCATGGTCCCCGAGTGGGCTTATTTCAATATTAATATATTACACTTAAAGTGATTGAAATTTATTGAGGGTTTCAATAAATTTCAGAAATTTAGTAAATTTTAATAAATTTCATAAATGTCATGAAAATTTCAAGTGAAATTTTAAGTACAAGCAAAAAGTGAAATTTTCCCAACCCTAGTTCCAAAGAGTAATTTTTTACTTATTAATTTAACAAAATGTATGTTCACTTGTGTTTTTATTATGTAGGTACCTACTTCAACATTTTTATTTTGCTAACTAAGTTGGTTTAAAAAATAAGCATGCATATATATCCCAGATAATTTTAAACCATTATAATGACTTTAATAAATGACGTGTTGCCAGGCAATGTAAAGTTATTGCTGTACAAGTTGCTGAGCCTACAGGTGGCACCGGATTCACGGTGTAAGACCGCGTTTTTCTATTGTTTTCTGTTTCCGGTAATTTTGAACCCTACTTAACTACACGTTAATGTTTTCAGCGTATGAAGTTGACCGATAACAATTAAATTCATGCATTATAAAATCTTATATTAAGAAAAGCAAGTGTCCCAAATAATCTCCAAAAACAACGGTTAAATTCAAACAATAACCTCCCAAATTACGCGTACAAAGATTATGTGAACAAATGTACACTAAAATAATCTTAAATTAACTGACATCTAACGGTGTTTCTATTGTTGAAACATCTCATTGTTTCTCAAACAAATCTAGAACTAACAATTATCCGAATTAATTCCAGACTGGTCGAGGTAAATGGCAAAATAGTGCTGACGAAAACCCGAGACGATCTCACCCGATTGCTGGCGGCCGCACCCGATCAAGCGCAACTTGTCGTGTTGAGAAAATTGTCGCCTGAAAGCCCGGAAATCAGCAATACGGTGCTGAAGAATGGGCTAAACGAAGTCAACGCGCTCAGAAGTGAGCTTGAAGTGGTACGTGAAAGGGCTGAAGAAGCCCAGAAAGTTAAAGACGGCCTTAGATCGGACAACATAAGGCTGACGCATCGTATATCCTATCTGGAAGAACAGGTATTTATTATTTCAATTGTTATTTGTGTTACATGGCTAACATTCTATATTTTTAGGTATCTGAACTTCTGAATAGAAGGCCATCCGAGGCCGATATAAGAATAGTAACCCCAAAACCGGTGATTTCAACGGTTAAAACAACACAGAACGTCACCAATATAAACATCACGAGTCAAAAAGATATGCAGGTGTTCCAAAATGCGCAAAGATCTAAAAGTAGTCTATCTAACGTATCGAACACTCATATCCCCGCACCGAGTCCACAGCCCGACTTTAACTGCCACAAAAACCACCGGCACAAACACAGACAAGGCAGAAATATGTCAACATCGAATCAGAATCTCGATGATAAGAATCACTATAGAAAGCACAGTCATCATCATCATCACCGGGATAAGGATTACAACAGCGAAACGAATTCCGCTATAGACGTGACGAGATACAACAAAAGAAACATGGATAATAACCACAGGTATTCCGGTGATTTCACCAAGGCGAACTCCGAAAGGGAATACGCCTCGGACGTGATGGATCAGAGCTTCAAAAAAGCGACCAAAATCGTCCACGAATTGACGAGAAACAGGGACAATTTGTACGAGAAACACCGCCAGAAATGCATAACGGCATCGGAAAAGTACAACGGAGACATTCTCAAGCATTACAACGCACGCAAATCCACTTCCGTCCTGGATTTCCGCTCAGAAATCCACATCGGTCCGAAATACTCCGACTCAAAATCCGTGGAGGATTTGGACGCAATAGACACCCCATCGAAGAGCACCAACAGAATCTACAAAAAAATCCAGGATTGTCGCAGCGTTAAATCATTGGATTTCGACTCGGACTGCAACTCCATCTCCACAAGGCTCCACAACGGGAACACCAAGAGCGTGGACTACGCGTCGGAGCCCCTGGAAAGCAACAAAAAAATGTCGTACTATCATGGCTACTACAACGACAACCACAAATCTAGACCCACTCCTCCCAAAAAACCTCTGCGGTTATCCCTGCACAAAACCCAAAGTTTGCAGTCGGTTGAAACGCCTCCACAGACTCCCCATGATTCCCCCACCAAACACGAGTCCAGGAAATCCTTGAAGAGAAACTACAGAGGAGAAATACCCATCTGCGTAACTATTAAATCCAGCGAACAAAACGGGGATTACACGAATAATAAATGGGGCAATTTTAAGCGAGGCATCGAGTACTCAGCAGAGAACGGAAGTTGGTGCTGATATTTAACCTAGATGATATATTTATTAGATATATTTTTACTTTAGTGTTTAAGTTATTGTACAAAAGTTGCTTTAAATCCGTACTCAAACGACTGAATAAAATTTTATCAAAGCACGATGTTGTCTTACTTCCCAGACATTAATATGACGTCTTAATTAAGTCTGCATAAGCTCTATTTTATGATTTGGACGTCAAACACAACATCAGAAAGAAGTTTTTAAGACTTCGAATGCGCCACCTATTGAACTAATCAAGACTTCTCAAAAAAGAACTCTTGAGGAACCCTTTTCTTTGACTTCGCATTTAAGCATTTTCCTCCTACTGTATAAAATTATAAAAAGACTTCTTTAGAATTTTGGATATAGAAGTACCACTAGGGTACTGATGAAAAAATTACATACTGGATCGTTGCTTACTTTGACATGTCAAGTTTAATTACCATAGAACAAACTAATTTGTTAAATTGATTTTATTGAAATCATTTTAATAATTTGCTCGTATTTGCTTATTTTTGAAATTGCGATTACTTTGTCTAACTTTTGTTTACCGATAGACGGCCTGTTTCGCTCTTTTGGAGCTCGTCAGTATCGGGTAGCCGTTTACCTAGGTCTAAGACCGTTTGGTATAGAGCACGCTGTAAATTCTACTTCGCCGCTTCTTATATCAAACACAAGCAGTTACAGCGGTGAGAAGAAAGTAATCGCATTAAAATGTCATAAATGTGACGTCTCCAAGTTGACGTCTTAAAGAGTTAATAATATGATTTCAGTAAGAAGTAAGAAAAGAGAATACTGTAAGATATCATATAACTGAAGTCTTATTTATGATACCCTTAGTAGCTTCTAATTTTGATTTTAATAAGAGGTCAGAAAAAAAGATGTTAAAAAATTGACTTCTCATTTATGAATTCATCAAGAACTCTTAATCTTGAGCTCCTAAAAATGATTTCTCTAAGATGTCATATTGTGACCTCGGTAAGATGTTTTTCAACAGACTTCGTACATAAATCTTTCTGAATTGGATGCTGTCTGGGTTGACTATTTGTTTAACAATGTTGTCGTAGTCAATAAAACTCCACCTCCCAAAGACTTCAAATTTATTTGACATTCACGATTCGGAGGTAGTAGTATTTAAACCAAAATACTGCTTTGAATTATCACTGTTGGACAAATTCTTCTCCAGAAACTTCTGAAAGGCTACAGAGCTGCTCACAATCCTCTTGTTAATCGGATGATCAACTTCGTCTATGGAATCGTCTAAAGAATCTGTAGCGCTGCTGTTGACAATGCTGACCATGGAGTTGATCTGACCTTTGATTAGAGGAAGCTTAAACAATATTAAAATATTTAACTGCCTTAACCTAGACGGTTTCATACTTTGGTCGGTACATTCTGATATGAGTTGCACCAATAGGATCTGGGCGATTCCGCCATACTTTCAGGAGTTTCGGAGTTATCATCAGTGGTTTCCTCGTCGTCTTCTTTGCTCGAAGAAAAATCAGAACGCTAAAGAAGTTGTTGGTGTGAGAATGAAAAAAGTAAATGTGGAATGTTACCCATAGAACATTTTCAGTTTCACTGATTGTCCTTAAATTTGGTATTGTGGTTGTTGGGTTGAAATTTTTTAAACTTTCTTCTAAAATGTCGATTTTCATCTGAACTTTCTTCATGTCCAGTTCAGTTTGCGATACAGACATTGCCTTAAAAACATTAAATAACCTAATTTAAAACACAAATTTTCGATCTTCATACAAGTGGTTCTAAGGTTTCGGGTTCTTTTTTTGTATTAGGGTTGGCAGTGTTATCGTCCCTTTCAGGTTTCTCCTGCATGCATTTAACTTCATTGCTCTGAAAAACAACCACCCTCTCCTGAAGTTTCACATATTCCTCCTGCAATATTCTAAGCTTGTTCTCCAAAATCTCCTTATCTCTAGTGGTTTGTTCCAACTGCATTTTCAGACCATCAATATTACCTAAGATCTAACAATATGTATTCCACACCTCACAATTAGAACTGTTCTTACAAGTCACTTCTTCCAGCTTGGCTAAAGCAAACTTCTTAGTTTTCGTGTTGTTTCTAAACTCTAGCGTGGCGTTCTCCAACCGCTGATGCAGCAGGAGTTTTTCCTGCAGCAACTCCTCCAGTTGCTGCTTCGCACCGCGGTTCTCCTTCGACAGTGTTGCCAGTTGTCTGGATAACTCCTTTTTCTCCTTTGTTGCCGTGTCCAGCTGTCTCTGAAGGTTGGCTTGTTCTCGCATCGAGCTGGCTTGAATCTGAAAAGGTTTTATAGTTTTGTGCCTTTATTTTTAAACGTTGGTTACTTCTAAGACTTCCTCCCTCAATTTTGCACATTTACTTTCCAAATTTAGGTCAAATCCCCTTCCACTAAGAGGCTTGGCGGAAAAAATGCAGTTGTTTTTGAAAATGGTGCGACAATTTACTTTGGCGATAGTTTTGGAAGAGTTTAGTAGGTCCGGGCAGCTGCTTTCGGTTTTTTTGACTTGTAGGACATTGTCGTCGGGATTTTGAAGTTTGGTGTTTGATCTACTTAAGAGTACGGGAATTTTGCTGCCACTGTTGGTACTAAGGATTTGCCTGAATTCATCTTTGGTGGGCTCACAGATCTGAGCTTCATTTCTGTAATATTATGTCAACAGACAGTCAGGTATGATTTGGATGTTACTTACTTTTGGTACGAATAAGCTTTAGATAAATTGTGAACCGCCTTTCTGATGAATGAACAGAAATAAAAGGATATTCCAAAGGTTAATATATTCCATATAACGACAGATACCATATGGCTAAATGACGACTTCTGCTCATAATCTTTCAGACTGTGGTCTGGTAAATTATCTGTGTAACTTTTTCCATACCCTAATGAAACACCATCATTTTACTGCATCACAAAAAATAATTTATTTCATTACCTGTATCGATGATATACTTTTTGTAGGCTAAAATGTCAGTAGTACAAAGTAAAATCCAAAATACTAACCCCAAACCTAGCAATGCCTTCCATTGAATGTACATTTGTTGTTTTTTTGATTTTACTTGTATGAATATTAAATTTAATTTAATTTTAATGAAAAAACTTACAAAACGATGGGATGTTAAAAGGCTGTGTTTTTGACATTGTTTGACAATCACCTACTAAGAAAAATAAAAGACGTTTGTTGTAAAAATGTTTTTATGATTGACTCATTTTTTTCATAAACAAGGCATAATATTCACTATCAAAGTAATTAGAAGCATTCAAATTACGACATTTTTCTCTATATTTGTTGACCTGATCCCTCCAAAGTTGGTTTTTGGCCTCCATGGTTATGAAAGTTTTTCGGCAATTGCATTTGGGTATTGAGACTGGATATAGTGGCTCCTTACGAGGCTGGAAAATCTCTCGATCGTAATTCTCAGCGTCCTCGTACATGGTGTAGATTATGAAAAGAATGTCCGAATTCTCAAATCCCGGTTTTCCACTCATGTATTTCACCAAGTCTTTACAGAGGTCCATGATGAACTTCTCATTGAGAATGGTGTGGACTTGCAAATAGGTTTCGTACAATACCTGCTTTTCTATAGGTTTTTTATACGCGTTCAAGCAAAACTGCTCGTCCAATAAATCAGTATTAAAGTAAAAATTAAAAAAGTTCTTGTATATTTTTCGTCGAAAATCCGATATAGCCACTTCTTTGTTTAGCGTGCTATCATAGCATAAAATCTCACAGTCGTGGCACTTATTGTATCTAGTTACTTTGGCGTTTAACATGTAGTTCGTCCAAAACATTTGACCACTGAAATCCTTCTTAATCAAGAACAACTTCTTGTATTCCATATTGGAATAGTGATAGCAGGAATATTGGTTGTAAGCATGCTTTTGGAAGCCGGAATTATGGGTACATTTACCGGAAACATTCCAGTAGAAAATCTTCTCGTAACTATCGGTAAATTTTATTAGTCTCTCTGTGGGTATCCAACGGTTATTTAGGAAGGAAGTCAAGGTTATTTTGCCCATTGTCAACCCGGGGCAAGACGGGCAATCCTTGTTGAACTTCACATAATCTGGACCCATCAAAAAGCGAATACCTGCTGATGATTGAAGCTCGTAGTTATCGTTGACCAACTTTCTTAAAAATATGTCGCCCTTAAGGGGTATGCTAAGAGTACCATCTGGGTAAAATTCAATCGTGTTGTAGTAAGGGTGTTCAAACTTGAACCCTATGGAAATAAAGACGAAAGGGTCTTCTGTCTCTTCATCAACTTCAAACCAACATATTATCTTTGTATTATCAGGAAACTAAGAAAAAATGTTACTACTAACAATAAGCCTAATTATATACCTACCTTAACATGTATTTCCCCGGTTTCAAACAATAAGCACTTCAAACCATCCGTTCTTTCATAAGAAACTGTGTTCAGAACATAATCAGTTTCTTTATGAGTATAAAACTTATCATGTTGTTTCAAAACGCCTCCCTCCAAAACGCTAGCTTCGCCTTTAAGAGTTATCAGTGTCGTTTTGTAGTAGGGAATCTTAATATTTTCCAGCTCTTTTATTTGATCCTTCATAAACTTTCTCCTGTTTCCTGAAATCAAATGCCTCCGACTTATGTTATGAGTATTGTTTCTGTTGAATTCTTCCTTGAATATTCTTTGCAGTTTCTTTCTGTAGCTGTCCATGTTCAGGCAGATACAGGGCTTCGTCACGCTGGATTCACCTAAACAATCTCGTTATAGTTCCGTATATTTCCAAAATCTTACACACCTATTTGCCCCTCTTCAAGAACTGGCTTCTCGTAGCAAACCAAAGTACCCAAATGATTGTAAACATTCAAGGAACCATCTTTAAACTTCACCAAAACATGCCCTGTCTTCGAGTATATTCTATAATCTTCCAATTCCAAATTCTTGACTTGAGGGCCTTTATCCAGAAACGTTTGTTTGATCTTAACCCCGGTCTTAACCTGAGCACCGCATTGAGAAATCTGCAAACCATGCGGTAACGTGATAAAAAAATCAACTTTAGGACGAGTTTTTCCCAAATATGGCGAATCCGATTTGAATTTTCTGTTGTAGAGCTGTTCCAATCGATTTTTTCCTATGGGTTTTTGCAGCACTCTATGCAATACAGTGCTAAGTGGTATTTTAATTTCCTTCTGCAAGGGTTTGACGTATTTATAGTTCTTGTTCACTTTATAAATAGGTATATTTTCTTCTACAGCTTGTTTGAGAGATGTCAGGAAACGCGGGTCATTCGGTTCGTGTATTTGTATTTTAGGTTCAATGTTGACGTCTTCGGTGTCGAGCTCTTTGCCTGCATTCTCATCTATCTTCTCTTGCAAATATTCATTGTTAACCGCGGTTATGTACGTCTCATCTTCCGATTTTACTTCATCTAAAAACAATCTTTAACTATTGTTTAATTTTTATCCTTCCACAAACCTAATGTTTCCGTTAAACTAGTTTTTTCACTTTCCTCAAAAGGTCTGTCGTATTTTGAACTTCCAAGTGTAGTTTCTTCCTCTTTTTCTGCAAACTTTTCCGAGTTTTTGGATTTCAATAAAAATGTAATGATGGTGTTATCACTTAACCGGTAATGGTAACTGTAATCCTCGTTAACCACACTGTCGCAGGAGTAAATGTAAAGAATTACACCTTTGGTGGTCACAGTGAAGCTACATCTGCAAAGTTCGGTTAATAAAGTACGCTAGAAAATATACAACTTAACCTATGGTCATCATCTATGAATCTGGTAGTATCAACATCTATTTGTATATCATCATGGGACTTGAACACATTAACGCCTCCTCGTAGACCTAAAAGATTCGAACCCAAATTGAAACCAACGAAGTCTTTTTTGCCTTCTATTGGATTTTTGTAGAGACTTTCAAGCTTAATCGATGTTGGGTAATTTATAATTTCATCTAGACGCTCTTGGAAATTGGCTTGTGGTTTGGGTGGTTTGATAAAACTTTCACTAAAGAAGAAATATTAGTCGTTTTATAATAGAGCAACTGGAAAATATAGAAGTGAATTGGATGACGCCACGTTTGAATACAGTTTTCTAAACCCTCGCCACGGTATAGAGTTGTATTCGTCAGTCGAGCGTTTCAATACTCTCCACAGTATAGAGGTCGTAATTTGATTTGATTTTTTTCATTTTATTATTTAATTAATTCATTTGTTCGTAGATGCTACAATAACCTGCACTGGTGTGTAATTTTTGATCAACCAGATTCAAATATTGCTGTAACATATACCAATGGAGATAGTGAAGGGTCTACCAACAGACCTCATTACTAAATTATTAAAGTTTAATAGCATATCGATCGTTTTTTCAACATAACCTATGAAATTTTATCACAAATATAGGTATTTTATATAATAAATAAATATACTTCACATCATATCCTCTGTGCTTTACATACCTGAGTTGTTACGGTAAATAAAAATCAGACAAAGGAACCAAAGAAAGGAACTGTTTTCAACAAAATCATATGCAGAAATGAGAATATTCAAAGTACTTGCATCCATCAAAAGATCAAAACTTCTTGCAATATTGAATTACACCCTCTTTTTATGCTCTCAGAAATATTGACTAGAACAGTATTAGAGAGACTCCAGTTTCTATAACTTGGCAGAATAAAGAAAAGTCGAAACCGTTGCGATATTGCATTGCGCTGTTTTTTATAATTCTCGGCGACATTAACGAAAATCATTGCCAGTAAAATTCGAAAATCTTTGAAGAGAATAAGAATCTGAAGTTGCTGCACCATTGGACTGACCCCGTTTTCAATAATTTCTAGAGACATAAATGACTGCGAAAATCAAAATAATGTATCTTGTAAGACACCATTGAGTTTGACTTTAACTATATTCGTACATAGGTATAGAGGCGAATAATATAAAAACAAAGCACGATTCAATACAGTTCTGATAAAACTTTAAGATTTAGTATTCAAACGGGGAGTCATCCTATACACTTCTATGAAATGCAGACCTTATTAAATGTTGGTACTCTTCATACATCTTGCTTTCCAACATGATTTTACCCCCTGGACATAACTCAATCTCTTCCATTTCGGTGTTGTTATAATATGGTAAAGGTGTATGGTTCATCAACCAATCCCCATCAAAGACTGAAATATACCTGCAAAAATCTCTAAGACAAATCGGTGTTCGTATATACCCCGAACTCATATTAGTGGCCAAACCGTTTTCATCTAGATAATCATGAAATTGCAGGAGCAGGGTCTCAGTTTCATCGCAGTAAAATTTGTCCATGTGATGGTACATACGGCTTGCTTTGGATATTTTTTGCATCAGAACATCGGAGCTCAATTTTTCAACCCAGTGGTAATTAATGGTGGTAGGTTGGTACAAGTTATCAACTCTATCGAATTGTGTTAGAAGGATGTCCGATTCCGAACGTTCCTCAAATATGGTCCAGTTTAATTCCCTGTATTCTTGCTCTATGTCGTAAATTTGAAAATATTTGTTTATTTCGTTTTTGGTGATTATCTCCTCCTTTGCAGGGTTCAAATGTTGCAAGCACGAAAATATAAGTAAATACATGAAATGATCCAACTGATACTGATTGTCCGGTGTCTCTCTTTTTGGTTCGTGGGTTTTATCGTGAAAATGAGGGTACTCCACGTAACTCATAATATCAATACCTTTCCATAGGTAACCTTTAAGATAACACTTCAACATTTTCTTTGTCACCTCGTCGTACAACGCCGCCTTTTTTCCGTAGGACTGCACTATATTCCCTAATAAATCATACTTTTCCACCCTATACGTTTTCTCAGGATTACCTCTGAGTTTACGTTCGGATTTCCTATTCTTTTTGTGTTCAAAAAACGCGTCTATACTGAAAGGATAAGTGCAAATAATGTTTTCGGAACTCATTTTGTCCAAAATTATGTTGATATTTGGCGAATGGGTATGAGACGGTTTTTTTAGTTTGGGTCCTAAGCAATTGTGTTTGTTACTGTTTTCATCATACAGTCTGGACAAGACTTCTTCCAAAGCTCCATGTAATATTAAGGGTACAGTGCGGAGTTCAGGTGATAAAGAGTCCATAACGTTTCTGAAAAAATTCATGCTCGAAATGGAATCACATCTAAACTATAATTACCTATATTTATTTAAACACTTCACTGGTAAAACATCTCCCTTTTCCTGCACATCGTACACCTTCAAACTCCTCAAATAATTCAAGTGCAAGAGCTTCACCTCAAAAAATTTCTTCAGCAAGCTCAAAAACTCCTTCAGCATCTCTCTTGCGTCACTTTGAGAGGCGAATTCCAGTAAGACGGTGTCTTCGAACAGCGGCAATCTGGAACCTCCGAATATGTTTTTTTTTATTTTGCACCAGAACAGTTCGGCTCTGTCCAGACCTCCTGAGCACGTTTCGTCCGTCAATATTTGAGTCGGGTTGAGTTCTATGCAAGCCATTAAAGGAACGCAAAGCGTTTCCGTGAGTACATTGACTATGTTATAGTCTATGAAGCCTGGAAAATACCTTTATGTTGACGGGACTTTTTGATGCTCGTTCATATGGAAACCTAAATATTTTATAATAGCTTTCCCAGACCGCAAAATCCCATTCCCTGCACATGTCAGGAATATTCCCTGGAATATTCCCAGGAATATTTCAAGCGTACCAGAATATTCCTAGGAATTGTTTTTTGAACATAAAGAACATTCACTGGGAATGTTCCAAGATGTTGCATGGAAGTTGTAGAGGATTATTCTTTAAAATATTCCCAATGAATATTCACTGGGAATGTTCTTAGATGGTGCCTGTAACTTTTAGAGGATCATTCCAAGAATATTCCCAATGAATATTCCTAGAATGAAGCGGATTATTCCTAGATGATAGCGCATATTCCTGGAATATAACCAATTTGTAGAAAAAGAAAATTATTTATTGTTTTTTAGATGGTGCTTGGAAGTATTAGAAGATCATTCTATGGAATATTCCCAATGAATATTCCTAAAATGAAGAGTTTATTTCTAGATGATAGCGCATATTCCTGGAATATAACCAATTTGTAGAAAGACAAAATTATTTATTGTTTTTTGAATATAAAGAACATTCACTGAAAATGTTCCAAAATGTTGTTTGGAAGTTGTAGAGGATCATTCTATGAAATATTCCCAATGAATATTCACTGGGAATGTTCTTAGATGGTGCTTGGAAGTATTAGAATATCATTCTATGGAATATTCCCAATGGATTATTCCTAGATGAGATAGCGAATATTCCTGGATTATAACCAATTTGTAGAAAGAGAAAATTATTTATTGTTTTTTGAACATAAAGAACATTCACTGGGAATATTCCAAGATGTTGCTTGGAATTTGTAGAGGATTATTCTTTAAAATATTCCCAATGAATATTCACTGGGAATGTTCTTGGATGGTGCTTGAAAATTTTAGAGAATCATTCTAGGAATATTCCCAATGAATATTCCTAGAATGATACGTATTATTCCTAGATGATAGCGCATATTCCTGGAATATAACCAATATGTAGAAAGACAAAATTATTTCCAAGATGTTGCTTGGAAGTTGTAGAGGATTATTCTTTAAAATATTCCCAATGAATATTCACTGGGAATGTTCTTAGATGATGCTTCCAATTGGAAGTTTTCCAGGTAGCATACTGCCCAGCTAGCAAGGTTACGTCATTAGGACGACATTTTAAGGTCACCTTTCGTCGGCGACGTCACATGACCAATAAAAGACGGGTTTATGACGTCACATTTCCGACGTCATTTAGACGTTTTTATGTTGCGTCTTTCTGACGTTTTCAATAGGTGATTTTATATCACGTAATAAATATATAATAATACGTATAATATAGTAGGTATAGATCGTACTACCTAATTTTTGAACACCCTGTAGATAAAATCCCAATTTTTTTGTAGATCAAAACTTATTTTTTTATCAGAAAAAAAAAATCCCTATTTTAAACAAAATATTTTTTAATTCTAAATTTAGTTTTACAATTTCATTGCTGTCAATACCTATATAGGTATTTATATTATTCCGAATAAAAAAACAGACAAAAATTCGTGGAACTTGGGAAGTGTAGATACATGGCGGGAAGTAAAGAACGCCGTGCTCGATACCACCAATCACAGACTGTGATTCAGTCAGCTGACTACTGTGAGATCAGCTGACTTTAGTGGCAGGCTGCGATTGCTTGATCATTTGTAACCGTCCATGTTTTGCAACGGTGCACTACCGCGGTGGCGTTCATTCTGTTATTCGGTTAAATTAAGTTACTTAATAACTGTTGTGCAAATCTACAATTAAGTGCAGTAACTGCGGATCAATAGGTAGGTTTTACATAATTATTAAATCATTCTTAATTTATTTACCTATACCTATACTAGGTGTTTAAAAGATGTACGCCGTAGTTGAGTTTGCACACGACGGTGACGGGGGAATTTCCGCTATCAATACAAAGTGGCTAACTCCTCGCAAAAAAGAAGTTTACTGGCCACCTTATAAACAACAGTGCAAATACGACAAGGTGCTTTATCACGCATGATAGCTCGAGCTATACATAATGTTCGATTTATGGGATAGGTCTACTCTATTAAGTTTATTTATTTATATTTTATAATATATGACATTTATAATATATTTCCTTGTTTTATTTATTACAATAAATGACAAATCTTGTACGTCTTTAAGACGTCAGTACTTACGTCATATATACGTCTACAAATGACGTTATTTGTACGTCCTAATATGACGTCAACGGTCTGTGACATTTGCCCGTTTCAAAGACGTGATTTTGACGTGATGTTAAGGGTGAATATGACGTAACTTGTGACCAAAAAATGCCGTGATTATGACGTCACCATGTTTGCTGGGTGACGTCTGCTGACGTTTAAATGGCGTCATTTAAACGTCAGCAGACGTCAGTATGCTACTTGGGTTTGGAGGATAATTCTAGGAATATTCCCAATGAATATTCCTAGAATAAAGCGGATTATTCCTAGATGATAGGGCATATTCCTGGAATATTTTCGAACTTTCACTGAAGTCTGGGTAATTTATATCCATGACTACATCGTTAAATAAATATACTTTGGTCTTAAAAAAATCTAAAAAAAAACAGTAAAAATACCTGCTAAAACACAAATTATTTCCTGATTATAAATATTATCATCCAAAATTTCTTCATTGGGCTCAATAATAATAGAAGTATAATCGTCAATTTCCTTTGGAGGACCATCGTTACCCTTATCCTTCCCCTTTCCCCCCTTTGACGCTTTTCTGCGACTTATTATCTTTCCCGGACTTTTTATCCTTCCCCGACTTTTTCTCCCCTTTATCTTTCTTGTCGCCTTTCTTGCCTTTCCCTTTCCCATCCTTGGAATCGCACAAATGCCGCAGCTCTTCCTCCAAAGCTTTCCTCCTGTACATTTTATCGACCTCTTTCCTGTACAAATCGTACATCAACATCATAATTTTCAACTTAATGCAATACGATAAAAAATTCGCCGGTATTTGAGTCGTGCCAATCAGCTCAATATCGCTTATAATATTGTAATAAGTTTCATGCAAATCTTTAGGAAGCGGTACGTCTTTCGTGTAAGGTTCCGAAATAATATCGCGCACGTCCTTGTATAAAATAAAGTAAACATTAGACACGTCCTCGTATTCTTTTCCTTCGTTCGCCAAGACGCCCAGATGATGCGTCTGCAAATCATCGGCCTGCGTTAACATGACAACCCTGTACATTTTTTTCGTACAGAATCTCATCAAGTCCATTTGTTCGAGGTTTCTGTAACCTTCTACCGGCTCTATAACCGACTTTCGCGCTGGCGTCACCATGTTTATTTCTGAACGCAGTTAACCTGAGTCACAACTTTGACAGATGACGTTTATACTGTCAAAAAATTTAACAAACGTCAACTCCCAGTTTTTTTCGCTTAAATATCTAATTTAAGCTAATTTCTCGTTAAAATGGCAGATCCAAAGTATGCAGACTTACCAGGAATCGTACGTAGACTGTTTATAATCAATAAATTCAGTATATAACCGTAAATATGTATAATTTCGGCTCAATTTATGTAATAGTGTCAATCAATTTGACTTTCTCTCACTTTTTAGGCATTGGATGAACCTGATGTTTACGAGACAACCGACCTGCCGGAATCCGAGCAGACCGTCGATTTTTACGAGGAAGAGAGCGAAGCAGTGGAGAGGATTCACATAGAATCAGCCGATGCTTTTAATAAGTTTAAAGGCAAGTTTTTGAACGCTCAAAATGTTGATTTTTCCAACCGCATCTCCAAAAACGCCAGAACTGGTTATGATGCCCGTTCGGGAAACTGGGAGTTGGTAGGTGAAGGTGCAAAAGAGAACCCGATGCAGAAATACCAGCGATTGCAATGCGAAATGAAGGAACTACTTGAGGAGGTAAATAATTTGAAGAAGGACAATAAAGAAGATGACACAAATGTTTTGGTTTCGTCGCAACAAGTCGAGATGGCTTTGAAGAAGCTCGCCGACTTAAAATTGGAGGATGCTTTGGGAAGTGAGGTTATGTCGAAAATTGCTGACCCTCAAGGGACACAATTACAGTAATTAAATTAAACTATAATTAATTAACAATGTTTGAATTTGGTTCTAATTAAAGGAAACTTTTATCTCAACTGGAGCAATTCAAGGCAAACATTAATAGCAAACCTGAATCTCAAGCCGAATCTGACGGTTCGGGTATTGTTTACCAGTTCAATTATCGACCGGAACAGGCTAAATTGGCGCAAACAACGCGGGTTGCCGAAATGGAGAGCCGTTTAAATCGCTTGGAAAACGTTTTAGGCACTACGAGCGATAAACTGTCTAGGTTAAGCGCAGCCACATCAAAAGGTAACGCTTTTTAGGTTAGCTGTCAAAAAGTTTGACATGATTGTCATCTGTCACAATTTTAAGGTTAACTGTCTGAAAAATAACCTTATAGTTTGACAAGATGACATTTGTTAAATCAACTGTCTAAATGGCGCTAATAAAACATGAAGACTAAAATTTGATTTTTTAGGGTCCTTACTGGAAACTGCTCAGCATTTAAGTGCTACAGCTAGTATGTTAGATTCGTCTCAGTTGGATCATATTGAAGGACGTTTATCGGCCTTATCGCAAAAATTGGACGCTATTACAGAAAAAAAGAAAATATTGGAACAGGATGAGGAAAAGGACAAAATGGTGGGTTATCTTTGTCAATTTAAACATAAAAAATTTTAAAATTTTGAACTTCTCTAAAAAAATTCTATATTTCCAAATTTTCACTCACCTTTTTATTTTTTACCTATGTTTGTAAATGAAAGGGCCAAAATTTTTAAAAGTTTTAATCAGTTTTGGTAAATTTGTCCAGTTTCATAAAATTTCTAAAAGTTTTAGACTTCAAAATTTTAAAGTTTTCACAATTTTCAATATTTATTAAATGTTTTGTTTTTAAAAATTTCTTACACTTTTAAAATTCACAAAATTTTCAAAGGTCTTAAAATTATCACTCACCTTTTTTTACCTATGTTTGTAAATGTAAGTGCCAAAATATACTTTAAAACATTTAAAACAGTTTGGGTAAATTTTTAGACAGTTTTTAAACAGTTTGAGACCTTTTTAATAGTTTTCCAAAATGTTCAGTTTTCAAAATTTGCACAATTTATAATATTTCCAAAATGTGTTCAGTTTTAAAAGTTTCATAAATTTTCAAAATTCACAAAATTTTAAATCACCTTTTTATTTTTAACCTGTTTGTAAATGTCCAAAATACATTTTAAAACATGTAAATTTTTAGACAGTTTTTAAACAGTTTGGTAAAATTTTTAGACAGTCTTATAACATTCCTTAGTTTTTAGACAGTTTGAGACTTACCTTTTTAATAGTTTTCCAAAATGTTCAGTTTCCAAAATTTGCACAGTTTTTAATATTTCCAAAATTTTCAGTTTTAAAAGTTTACTAAATTTTCAAAATTCCCAAAATTTTCCCTCACCATTTTATTTTTTAACCTGTTTGTAAATGTCCAAAATAAATTTAAAACATGTAAATTTTTAGACAGTTTTATAACATTCCTTAGTTTTTAGACAGTTTGAGACTTACCTTTTTAATAGTTTTCCTAAATTTTCGAAATTCCCAAAATTTTCACTCACCTTTTTATTTTTTAACCTGTTTGTAAATGTCCAAAATACATTTTAAAACATGTAAATTTTTAGACAGTTTTTAATCAGTTTGGTAAAATTTTTAGAGTTTTATAACATTCCTTAGTTTTTAGACAGTTTGAGACTTACCTTTTTAATAGTTTTACAAAATGTTCAGTTTCCAAAATTTTTAATATTTCCAAAATTTTCAGTTTTAAAAGGTTCCTAAATTTTCAAAATTCCCAAAATTTTCACTCTTCTTGTTTTTAAATGTCCAAAATACATTTTAAAACATGTAAATTTTTAGACAGTTTTTAATCAGTTTGGTAAAATTTTTAGACAGTTTTTATAACATTCCTTAGTTTTTAGACAGTTTGAGACTTACCTTTTTAATAGTTTTACAAAATGTTCAGTTTCCAAAATTTTCACAATTTATAATATTTCCAAAATGTGTTCAGTTTTAAAAGTTTCCTAAATTTTCAAAATTCCCAAAATTTTCACTTCCTTTTTTATTTTTTAACCTGTTTGTAAATGTCCAAAATAAATTTTAAAACATGTAAATTTTTAGACAGTTTTTAATCAGTTTGGTAAAATTTTTAGACAGTTTTTATAACATTCCTTAGTTTTTAGACAGTTTGAGACTTACCTTTTTAATAGTTTTACAAAATGTTAAATTTCCAATATTTCCAAAATTTTCAGTTTTTAAAGTTTCTTAAATTTTCAAAATTTCCAAAATTTTCACTCACCTTTTTATTTTTTAACCTGTTTTTAAATCTCCAAAATACATTTTAAAACCTGTAAATTTTTAGACAGTTTTTAAACATTTTGGTAAATTTTTTAGACAGTTTTATAACATTCCTTAGTTTTTAGACAGTTTGAGACTTACCTTTTTAATAGTTTTACAAAATGTTCAGTTTCCAAAATGTTCACAATTTTTAATATTTTCAAAATTTTCAGTTTTTAAAGTTTCCTAAATTTTCAAAATTCCCAAAATTTTCACTCGCCTTTTTATTTTTTAACCTGTTTGTAAATGTTCAAAATACATTTTAAAACATGTAAATTTTTAGACAGTTTTTAAACAGTTTGTTAAATTTTTTAGACAGTTTTATAACATTCCTTAGTTTTTAGACAGTTTGAGACTTAACCTTTTTAATAGTTTTACAAAATGTTCAGTTTCCAAAATTTTCAGAATTTTTAATATTTCCAAAATTTTCAGTTTTAAAAGTTTTCTAAATTTTGAAAATTCCAAAATTTTTAGTCACCTTTTTATTTTATAACCTGTTTGTAAATGTAAGTGCCAAAATACAGCTAATGTAGTTTTGAATATCATTTTTGCAGATTCTGGAACTCTACGATTTAATTAAAAACAGCGAATCAGTTACACAACTTTTACCGGCCACAATTGAACGTCTCAAAGCTTTAGAAGCGTTACACAGCAAAGGTAAACATCGTATTTAATTTTCAGCGTGCATTTTTTTACGTGTATTAATTTTTAGCCACCGATTTCATCACAACTTTGTCTCAAATTGAGATGATGCAATCGGAGATGTCTTCAAACGTTCAGAACAACAAAACTCTGCTACAGGGTGTTCAGGAAAGTTTTGCCGTGAATTTGAATGAGATTAATATAACTGTGGCGACTTTAGATGCAAGAATTAAAGCCCTTAAAAAGAAGTAATCCTTTTAGACAATTTTTTTTATTTTTATTAATTAAATAATAATTTATTATGATAGTATGTATACACTGTGTTTATGCTAAATGCAGCTCTAAAATATATGCTTTTTATTTATGCATGCGTTTTATTTCCGTAATTTTAAAATTAAATTGGGCAAGGGTAAAGTAAAAAAGTGTTTTATAAAATTACTGATAAAATGTTTATTTTACACTTTGAGAAACCAAACAAGTAGTATTTATACTTGGAATAGGAAAATACTAAATAAAAATCTTTGCTTATACCTACGCAAAATGTAGATAATAAAATATATACAAACATTATAACTATATTACAATATTTAAAACGACTCCCTAAAGTTGCAAGTCAACTAAATTAAATTAAAAATCATTTAGAGGTTAAGTTTTATTCTGAAAAGTGACATGAGAGAAAAAGGGAAATAAATATATTCTAAATGCTTTGTACAAAATTGAAATAGATATAAAAATCTATCTTACAATACAATCCTTCTAACTAAGTTAACACAAACCTAAACACTAGTCCAGCTCTAAGCTGGCATACTCTTCCGGAGACACCTGGGTCATCATCAAGTTACCATCTGGTAACATTACCACTACTTTGTGGGTACCACCTTAAAAAAAACACCATTAGTAATTAAGTGCAAAAGGATTTAATTACTGGTAAAGTGGTGAACACATTTCTAACACATGCACAAAATAAGATTCCTAAAAGTTTTTAGACAGTTTGGAGCATTTTTGATGAAGTTTTTTTAAAACTTCATCAAAAAGGATTTTAAGTTATGGTCAGTTTTGGGACATTTTTAGTCAGTTTTAAATCATTCCCAAAAGTTTTTAGACAGTTTGAAACCTTTTAAATGAAGTTTTAAAAGTTACAACATTCTTTAAGGTTTTGAAATAATTTGGGAAAGTTTTAGACAGTTTTAAAATATTCTTTAAGGTAACATTCTTAAAATTTTACAGTTTGGGACCTTTTTAATGAAGTTTTAAAGGTTAGTCAGTTTTGGGACATTTGTTAAAGTGACCAGATTCTGTCAAAAAATAGGTGTAAATTAACCTTAATTACAAAAATGATACAATCAACAATAATTAATTAACGTCAAATTTACAATTTGCATTGTATCACTGTGTCAATTTTGTAATTAAGGTAAATTCATACAAAATGTCCCCCTATTTTTTGACAGAATCTGGCCAATTTACATTTTGTAGAGTGTTAAAATATTTCTAAAGGTTTTAGACAGTTTGGGAAATTTTTGGACAGTTTTATAACATTCTCAAAAGTTTTTAGACAGTTTTATGAAATTCCTTAAAGTTTTTAGAGAGTTTGGGACAGTTTTAAAGGTTATGGTCAGTTTTGGGACATTCTTAAACAGTTTTAAAATATTTTAAAGGTTTCTTAGACAGTTTGGGACAGTTAAAGTCATTTTTATGAATTTAAAACATTCTTAAAAGTTTTGGGACAGTTTTAAAATATTTTTAAATGTTTTTAGACATTTTATAGTCTTAAAACATTCTTAAAAGTTTTTAGTTAGTTTTAGTTTGGGACAGTTTTATAACTTTCCCAAAAGTTTTTAGAGTCTTATGACATTCTTAAAAGTTTTTAGATTTTTTGGTTTTTGAATGAAGTTTTAAAGGTTATGGTCAGTTATGGGACATTCTTAAACAGTTTTAAAATATTTTTAAAGGTTTTTTTGACATTTTAAGTCAGTTTTATAGTTTTAAAACATTCTTAAAAGTTTTTAGACAGTTTAGGATATTCATAATGTAGTTTTGACAGTTTTAAAACATTCTTAAAGTTTTTAGACAGTTTGAGACATGAATAATGAAGGTTTGACAGTCATTTTTATAGTTTTAAAACATTCTTAAAAGTTTTTAAACAGTTTGGAAACTTTTAAGATGTTTTATAACATTGTTAAACGTTCCTAGACTTTTTTAATGAAGTTTTAAAGGTTGTGGTTAGTTTTGGGACATTCTTATCCAATTTTAAAATATTTTTAAAGGTTTCTTAGACAGTTTGGGACAGTTGAAGTCATTTTTATGAATTTAAAACATTCTTAAAACTTTTTAGACAGTTTGGGACATTTATAATGTAGTTTTAGTTTTCAGTTTTGGAACAATTAAAGTCAGTGTTGGGAAACTTTTAGACAGTTTTAAAACACACCTAAAAGATCAGGATTTTTTTATAACATTTCTAAAAGTTTTTATTTAGAGAGTTTGGGAAAATCTTGGACAGTTTTATAAAATTCCTAAAAGTTTTTAGACAGTTTTACATCATTCCTAAAATTGGCACCTTTTTTAATGAAGTTTTGGGACATTCTTAAAAACTTTTAAAATATTTTTAAATGTTTTTAGACAGTTTTGAGAGTCATTTTTAAAGTTTTACAACTTTCTTAAAGGTTTTAGACAGTTTGGGTTTGGCAGTCATTTTTACAGTTTTAAAACATTCTTAACAGTTTAAAAAATTTTGAGATGGTTTTGTGACATTCCTAAAAGTTTTTAGGCAGATATGAGACTTTTTTATTTAGAGAGTTTGGGAAAATCTTGGACAGTTTTATAACATTCCTAAAAGTTTTTAGGCAGTTTTACATCATTCCTAAAAGTGGGACCTTTTTAATGAAGTTTTAAAGGTTATGGTAAGTTTTGGGACATTTTTAGACAGTTTTAAAACAGTTTGGGAAACTTTGAGATAGATAACGTTTCTAAAAGTTTTTAGGCAGTTTGGAAAATTTAAGACATTCCTAAAAGTTTTGAGACCTTTTTAATGAAGTTTTAAAAGTTATGATTAGTTTTGGGAGACAGTTTTAAAATATTCGTAAAGGTTTTAAAAACAGTTTGAGATATTTTTGAACAGTTTTCTAACATTCCTAAAAGTTGAAAATATTAATATTTAAAATCCAAAAACAGATTTGACACTTATTCGCAAAATGCGATTTTGTTTTAACTTTAACTAGAATGTTAATTTAATTTAGTAACTGTTTTAACTGTTATACAGGGTGCCCTGAAATTAGTGCACCATACTTTAACAGCAGATTTTAAGTGCAAAATAGCTCAATTAGGAGGCATTTCTCGACCTAAATTTATAGGGACTTTATTCTTATTTTTGCACGTAGAATCTGCTGTTAGGCCCGGTTTTTCAATATTGCATTTAATTAGCACTTAGGTAAGTTACAGTTATATTTAACTAGCGGCAAATTGTTAGTTAAATTGCAATCTGTTTTTTCACGCATGTTGAAGCATTAGTTACAGAATCACAACTTTTGACATATTTTTGTCAGGTTGGTATAGAATTTTACCGGAAATCGCCAAATATAACCTTATTTGCGCTGTCGAAAGTAAAAAAAATAAATTAAAAAAAAATCAATGTGTTTTTTCCTAATAAAAATTATTCTTTAAACATAATAATTTTAGAGAAAATAGAAGTAATAGATATTGGAAGGTAGTATCCTGGATCTTCTTTACTACCTTTTTTGTATATAGGAAGTAGATATTTTACATTTTTCAGGAAAATTAAAAGATGTTATTTATTCATCTGAGTAAGGTTTCTTTTAGGATAAATCTTTTAATATCTTTAGTAGTAATATTACCATCAAAGTTATTATAGTTCAAAGATGCGATAACTTTTCCTAATTAACTCATTGTACAAGGGGACATAAAAATAGTTTTATTATTTGTAACTTCTTCAAATGTTATATCAGGTATTATTATATCTTTTGCAGTTCTTTAGCAACTTCAGAACAGAATTTATTATAGATATTAGCTAATTCTGTACTCTCAGTGTATTCTTTATTTTTGTATTTTAGTCTGTCTATCTTATTATTTGTTTTTCTAGTTAATATAAATTATTTCATCTATAGTTTTCCATATTTTTTTCACATTTCTTTCTGTTGAAAACAAATTTTTGTTTAATAAATTCATATTTAAAATTATAATAATGTATTTTTAGGTTAACCACAACTTTACTAATACAAGAAGTCGTAGTTACGGAAACTCAAACATAATCTGCACTTTGATAAATAACTACCAATTGTAAAACACAAAAACAAATTAACTACTACAATTAAGTAGCAATTTAATTTTAACTAGAGATGATAAAACCGGGCCTTAAAAGTTTTTAGACAGTTTGGGACATTTATAATGTAGTTTTAATTAGTTTTGTGACAGTTTAAGTCAGTGTTGGGAAACTTTTAGACAGTTTTAAAACATACATAAAAGTTTTTAAACAGTTTAGGAAATTTTTAGACAGTTTAATGACATTTCTAAAAGTTTTTAGAGAGTTTAGGAAATTCTTGGACAGTTTTATAACATTCCTAAAAGTTTTTAGACAAGTTTACATCATTCCTAATGAAGTTTTAAAGGTTATGGTCTGGTTATGGTTTAAAACAAGTTTTTAGATAGTTCTGGACATTAAAAATGTAGTTTTGACAGTTTTAAAACATTCTCACAGTTTTTATACAGTTTGGAAAACGTTGAGATGGTTTTTTAACATTCCTAAAATATTCTAGTCAGTTTTGAGAAGTTTTGGGACATTCTTAAACAGTTTTAAAATATTTTTAGGTTTTTTAGACAGTTGGGGATATTTTTGTCAGTTGAAGTCATTTTTATGGCTTTAAAAGTTTTTAGACAGATTGGGATATTTATAATGTGGTTTTAATCAGTTTTGAAACAGTTTTAAAACATACTTTAAAGTTCTTAAACATTTAGGACAGTTTTATAAATATCAAACAATCAACAATAGTTTTATAACGTTCCTAAAAATTTTTAGAGAGTTTGGGAAAATCTTGGACAATTTTATAACATTCCTTAAAGTTTTTAGACAGGTTTACATCATTCCTAAAAGTGGGACTTTTTTAATGAAGTTTTAAAGATAATGGTCAGTTTTGGGACATTTTTAAAATCAGTGTTGGAAAATTCTTAAGACAGTTTTAAAAGAGTTTGGGGTATTTTGAGATAGTTTTATAACAATCTTAAAATTTTTTCAGTTTCATAACATTCCCAAAGGTGTTTAGACAGCTTTATGACATTTCTAAAAGTTTTCAGACAATTTTGAGACCTTTTTAATGAAGTTTTAAAAGTTATGATCACTTTTGGGAGACAGTTTTAAAATATTCGTAAAGGTTTTAAAAACAGTTTAAGATTATTTTGGACAGTTTTTCTAACATTCCCAAAAATTGAAAATAATAAATTTAAAAACCCAAAAACAGATTTTCACAAAATGCGATTTTGTGTTAACTGGAATGTCAATTTAATTTAATAATTTTTTTAAATGTTATATGTTGGAATATGTAAAAAAAAGATGGTTGAATTAAAAGTCAACTTTATTTAAAACTGAACAAAAAACATTTTGTAACAACCTTGTTAGGATAAACTTTGTTGATAAAATATAGGCACATTCTTCCATAACTACCGAAATAATAAAATAAAACAACCGCAACCACTAATAAGGACTACTAAGGAGTTTTGGCAACATTGCACTCACCAGGACTGGGCGGCTCCGCTCTCACCACCTGCGCGACCACCTGGTCGCCGGAGTCGTCCGCTCCCGTCTTGATCGACAGCGGCTCGGTCGCTTCCGCCTTGGCTTCGTCGGAGGCGGCGGCGGGGCCGACCGCCAGCACGGCGGGGGCGGCGCTCGCTTCGGCGCACGCCGCCTCCTCGTCGTCGTCGCCGGTCGAGGTGCCCGCCTCAGCGTCGTTCGTCACCAGCAGGCACTGCTGCTGCCCGTCGCTGCCCTGCGTTATGAGGATCGTCTGTCCCTGCTCGTTTTGACCTTTCAAAGTGACACGACAAAATTATTTTCAAATGTGGAATCTTTAATTAAAACAATTTATTCAATTATGGCAGGCCGTTTCACTTTTTAATCATCAACGTTTTAAATATGTAAAAAATTTGTAAAAAAAAAACAAAAAAATTAAAAAAATACAACAAAATAATTATTAAAAACACAAAATTGTTAAAATTTTCAAAACTTAAAATTTTGCATAATTTTAAAATTTCCAAAATCATTACGTTGAAAATTTAAAAAAAAAAAACAAAAAAATTGCAAAAATACAACAAAATATAAAAACAACAACTTAAAATTTCCAAATTTTACAAAATTTTAAAATTTCCATTTTTTTTTAATTTTTCAAATTGTTAAAATTACGTTTAGTCCAGGAAACAAAGATTGTAGAAGGAAAACTCGATGGTAGTCGGGTTGCTGATAATGAATCAAGAATATTTCCCAAAAATGATGTGCCCTTTTGCGTTGCTTTCAAAATCACTTTTGTTTTTTTTTATTATAGCCCAATTTTAAACCCAAACCTTACGGTAATCAAATGGACGATTTTTTGAGGTACTAGACTTTTTTCAAAAGATATTGCTTTTTAATGTACAAGGGGGTTCTAATCCATTTTTTATTTCCCAAACGGCTTTAATGAGACAGTTCCTTCCACCCTAGATTTTTAGATACACTTATCCTCGTAACGAATCCGTATTTTTTTAAAATTATTTTCATTGCAAGTGCCCCACAAAAATTAAAGTTTAAAAAAAAGAACCCCTTGTACAATGCAAAATTTCAAAAATCATAAAGATTACGTTATATTTTAATAAAACCTTTATTAATTAATTGTATTTTTTGACCCCAGATGTAAATTTAAAAAAAAAACAAAAACCAAACGTTGCAAAAAAACAACAAAATATTAAAAACAGACAAAAATGTCAAAATGTTCGAAATTTATAAAATCATTAAAAAGACGTTATTTTCATTAATTAATTGTATTTAATATCATTATTTGACTAAAAAAACTGCAAAAATACAACAAAATGTTAAAAAAAGACAAAAAAGTTGAAATTTCCTAAATTTACAAATATTGTTAAAGTTTAAAATTTCCAAAATTATTAAAATTACGTTATTTTTTAATAAATTCTGTATTAATTGTATTTGATATCATTCTTTGGCCAAAGATGTAAATTCTAAAAAAATGTCAAAATTTCAAAAAAAAACAAAAAGTTGCAAAAAATACAACAAAATGTTAAAAAACACAAAAACGTTGAAATTTCCGAAATTTTCAAAATTTACAAATATTGTTGAAGTTTAAAATTTTCAAAATTATTAAAATTACGTTATTTTTTAAAAAATCCAGTATTAATTGTTTTTGATAGAATTTTTTGGCTAAAGATGTAAATTCTAAAAAAAAACAAAAAGTTGCAAAAAATACAACAAAATGTTAAAAAAGACAAAAACGTTAAAATTTCCGAAATTTTCAAAATTTACAAAATTTGTAAATTTAAGAATTATTATTAGAAATATTTAATATTGCAAAAGTTTAAAATTTACAAAATTATTAAAATTACGTTATTTTTTAATAAATCCTGTATTAATTGTATTTGATATCATTCCTTGGCCAAAGATGTAAATTCTAAAAAAAATGCCAAAATATAAAAAAAACAAAAAGTTGCAAAAAATACAACAAAATGTTAAAAAAAAACAAAAACGTTGAAATTTCCGAAATTCTCAAAATTTACAAATATTGTATAAGTTTAAAATTTCCAAAATTATTAAATTACGTTATTTTTTAATAAATCCTTTATTAATTGTATTTGATATCATTCTTTGACCAAAGATGTAAATTCTAAAAAAAAATGGCAAAATATCAACAAAAAAACAAAAAGTTGCAAAAAATACAACGAAATGTTAAAAAAAATACAAAAACGTTGAAATTTCCGAAATTTTCAAAATTTACAAATATTGTAAAAGTTTAAAATTTCTAAAATCATTAAAATTACGTTATTTTTTAATAAAACCTTTATGAATTTAAAATATTTAATTGACCAAAGATCGAAAAAATCGAAAAAATTAAACAAAATTATAAAATTTTCAAAATTATTTAAATTACGTAATATTGTAATTTCCTAATTGTATTAAATAAGTTTCTTTGACCAAAAAAATTGCAAAAAATACAACAAAATATTAATTTTTTTTAAAAACGCCCAGTCATTAAAATTACGATATTTAAAAAAAAATCCTATATAAACTATAAAACTGAAATAAATGCAGTTGTAAATGCAGAAACTCACCTGCTACTTGGTAGACCGTGCCGTCGTCGCCGGTGATGAAGATGGGCTGCTCGTTGTCGCCCAGCGCGAACGCGGCGCCCAGGTCCGCCTCGGCGGCCGTCTGGGCCTCGGCCGGCGCGGGCGCCGGCTCGGCGGGCGCCGCCAGGACGGGCGCCGCCGCCGGCTCGTCGTCGCCGACCAGCGACGGCATGCTGATGACCACCTTCGGCTTCTGCGGCTGCTGCTGCTGCAGCTGCGCCGGGCGCGAGATCGGTTCGCGTCGCGGCGCCTTGTACACGCTCACGTTGGCGCCGGCGTGGTGCTGCGCGACGCGGGACGGCGTGCCCGGTTTCGACTGCGTTCCGCTGATGCTTCTGAGTGAAAAATTAAAATTATATTAAAATAATAAAACTTCCATTTTTAAAAGAAAATATTTTTAGTCTTAAAATTACCGAAACTTACAAGATTTTTAAATTTTATAAAAATCCTTTATTAATAATTATTGTATTTAATGAAGATGTAAATTTAAAAAAAAATGCCAAAAATCGAAAAAACTAAAAAATTGCAAAAATTAAAACAAATTATTAAAAAATTAAAAAAAGAAAAATGTTTAAATTTTAAATTTTCAAAACCATTGAAATTGCGTTATTTTATGATAAAAAAAAATTAATTTGATTTAAAATATCATTTGACTAAAGATGTAAATTCTAAAAAAATAGCAAAAAATCAAAAAAAAAGAAAAAGTTGCAAAAAATACAACAAAATGTTAAAATTTAAAATTTTCCATTGTAACGGGTGCGACACTAAAATAAAGTGTTTGTTCATATATATCAAGATACGTTATTATATAAAATTAACTCAAACAAAATGTCAATAAAAACTCATGAATAGCGTAACGGGCGCGACCTTAAAAAATCGACAAATGCGACCAAATTGGCTTCTAAAGTTGATACTGTAAAATTTTGGATGAAAGCATATAGTAATAATTTTTTGGGTAAAACCTTAAACGAGCACGTATTTTAAATGCACAAAAATTGCATACTTTATTTTCTAAAATTTTCTCAAAATGCGACATTTGAACATTTTATCGAGTATTGAAACTCTTCCGTGTTTATTCTTAATGTTAGCTTCTTAGCATCACAATGTACGAATATTTTAAGGTTAATTAAACTATTTGACTTCAGATATAGTTTTTATTTTGTTAAATAACACATCTGATTTTTTGTCAAGGTGGGGTAAGGTTTCGTGGAAATACCCAAAATTAATAAAATTACGTTATTTTGGAATAAAACCTTAATAATTGTATTTAATATAAATTTTTGAACAAAGACGTAAGTTTATAAAAAATTGCAAAATCCAAAAATACAACAAAATATTAAAAACAGAAAAAAATGTTAAAATTCCAAAAATCATTAAAAAATTTTATATCTTGCTTTGATGTAAATTTAAAAAAATGCAAAAAACAACAAAATTGAAAAAAATACAACAAAATATTAAAACCGAACAAAAATGTTCAAATTTGCAAAACTTAAAATTATCTTCTTCAAATATTCAAAAAAAATGCAAAAAATGCAAAGTATACAAGAAAATATTAAAAAGAAACAAAAATGTTAAAATTTTAAATTATTTAATATTTCGAAAATTATTAAAATTACGTTGTTTTTTGATAAAACCTTTATTAATTGTCTTTAATACATCATTATTTGACCAAAGATGTAAATTTAAAAAAAATGACAAAAAAGCAAAAGTTGCAAAAAATACAGCAAAATATTAAAAACAGACAAAAATGTCAAAATTTCCGAAATTTATAAAATCATTAAAATGGCGTTATTCTCATTAATTAAATTGTATTTAATAGCATTATTTAACCAAAGATGTAAGTTCTAAAAAAAATGCAAAAAAACAAAAATTAAAAAAAAACAAACTGCAAAATTAAAACAAAATGTTAAAAACAGACAAAAACGTTGAAATTTCCGAAATTTGAAAATATTGTAAAAGTTTAAAATTTTCAAAATTATTAAAATTGAGTTATTTTTAATAAACCCTGTATTAATTGTAGTTGATATCATTCTTTGGTCAAAGATGTAAATTCTAAAAAAGTGTCAAAATTTCAACAAAAAAAAACAAAACACAACAAAATATTAAAACAAAAATTGCGTATTTTTTATTAAAACCTTAATGAATTTAATATCTTTAATAAAAATTCTAAAAAAATGCAAAAAACAGACAAAAATGTTAAATTATGCAAAATTTTATAATTTCCAAAACCATTAAAACTGTATTATTTAGTATTTAATATCTTTCTTTGACCAAAGATGCAATCCTAAAAAAAATTGCAAGAAATAAAACAAAATATTAAAGATTCTAAAAATTTCTAAAAAATGGCAAAAATGTTAAAATTTTTAAAATCATTAAAATTCCGTTATTTTTTATTTTAATAAAAAATAACGTAAGTAGGTTTTAAACCTTTATGAATCTTTAATTTCAATTCTAAAAAAATTACAAAAAATACAACAAAATATTAAAAACAGGCAAAAATTTACAAAATCATTAAAATTTCGTTGTTTTGTAATATAACCTTTATTAATTAATAGTATTTAATATCTTTCTTTGACCAAAGATGTAAAAAAAAATAAAATACAACAAAATATTAAAAACACAAAAATGTTAAACTTTTCAACTTAAAATTTTGCAAAATTTCTTTGACCAAAGATGCAAGTTCTAAAAAACAAAACATTTGCAAAAAAATACAACAAAATTATCTCTCTCATTATCTCTCGTATATTAATATATTTCTTTGGAAAAATATGTAAATTAAAAAAAAATTCTCTCACCTGTAGACCGTCGTGTGTCCAATCTTGGTGCGCATGTTGTTCGTCCCGAGCACCGTCGTTTTCGAGTAGACGTTCCTGGCGGCGCCCGCCTCGCTGACGCGGTACTGCGTCTGCGCCGCCGAGCCGGCGCCCAGGTTGAACTTGGCGCGCGGCGGCGTCGGCTTGGCGGCGCGCATCGCGCTGCTCGGACTGCCGCCCACCTGCCGCACCGTCTGCACGGTGTGCAGCGACGATCTGCCGCCCGACATCGAGTGGTTCAAGATTCGCTGTTGAATCTGAACAAGAAAAAATTTGATTTTGATTTTCCTTTCATTTTGTTGCTACATTTTTTATTGTATTTTAAGATTTAAAAATATAGTACTGTCTGTCCACTCTAAGTTGGCGGAACTAAGGAATTTTTTAGTTTAGTTATTAAAGAATTGTCGTACTGTGTGCTTTTAAAACAGATTTTATATTATAAATAATACTAGTACATATTATATACTAGTATTATTTATAATATAAAATCTGTTTTAAAAGCACACAGTACGACAATTCTTTAATAACTAAACTAAAAAATTCCTTAGTTCAGCCAACTTAGAGTGGACAGACAGTAAAAAAAATTAAATTAGACATAATTAAATGGAGGATATTTATTTGTTAATGTATGTAACTTTTCCTCAATACTAAAAGTAAAAATTTAGATTGTTAAATATCTTTTATTATTAAAGTTTTAGTAATTAAGACGTTGTTTTTTTTTAAATGCAGTAAAAGTTAATATTTAAAAAAAATACAAACAAAACTAAAAATACCCCAAAATTGGTATGTAAGAATAAAATAAACATTGCAAAATGATGAAAAATATAAGCATTGTGATTTTCCTTTAATTTTGTTTGTACATTAGGGTGTGTCATTTTTGAGCAACTTCTTTTTTACAACTAAAAAACAGGCTAAAAACTTTCAGGAAGGTGAAAAAAGAAGCTTCTAAAAATTTGAGCTCTTAATAATAACATTAAGTGGTGCCTGTTCCTAACTTTCCATTTTCCATTTAAATAACATGAAAAAAAAATTGTTTCTTGTTTCTTATTTTTGTATCTTGACATTTAAGCATTGTATAAACGAACTGAAAAATTATTTTGGTAGGAAATTGAACGCTCTACAAAAAAGTACTAATTTATTTTTTCATAGAGTAAGCCGTTCTGAAGGTATTCAAACTTGCAAATGTATGAAATTACTGACTTTTATTTTATTAAACTAATAAAATAATTATTTTCGTATAGAAAGAAAATAACACTTACATCTCAATTTTTTTCCATTTTATTTTATTTACTATCAAAAAAAGTTATTTGTGTTCAATAAATTTGTTCAATAATTATAATGGATTAAATAAAACAATGAATTTGTAATTGTATTGAATTTTTAATCTTTCTTTTTTTTATAATTTTAAAGTCGATAACTCTGATAAAAGATTATATCGGCTCAGTCGGTATATTACCGTTCGGATTACACAGTGACTACTAGTCACTGACTAGAGGCACGCTAACGTGCCGCGATTCGAAATGTTAAAGGCAACTTTAAGTTTGAATACCTTCAGAACGACTCACTCTATGAAAAAATATATTGAAACTTTTTTGTAGAGCGTTCAACTTCCTACCAAAATAATTTTTCAGTTCGTTTTTACAATGCTCCAATGTCAAGCTACAAAAATAAGAAAAAAGAAAAAAAAAATTTCCATGTTATTTAAATGGAAAATGGAAAGTTAGGAACAGGCACCACTTAATGTTAATATTAAGAGCTCAAAGTTTTTAGCCTGTTTTTTAGTTGAAAAAAAAAGTTGCTTAAAAATGACACACCCTATTGTACATTTTTTTATTGTATTTCAAGATTTAAAAATTTATATTAAAATATAGTAAACAGTTATTAAATTGGACATAATAAAATGGAGGATATTAATTTTTTAATGTTTGTAACTTTTCCTCAATACTAGAAGGAAAAATTTAGATTGTTTAATATCTTTTATTATTAAAGTAAAGTAAAACGTTTATTGTTGTTTTTTTTTAAATGTAGTAAAAGTTAATAATTAAAAAAAAATACAAACAAAACTAAAAATACCCCAAAACTGGTATGTTGGAATAAAATAAAAATTGCAAAATGATGAAAAATATAATCATTTTGATTTTTATTTAATTTTATTTGTACTTTTTTTATTAATTTCCAAGATTTAAAAATTTATATTAAAATATAGTAAAAAGTTTTGAAATTCGACATACATAAATAAAGTATCTTTTATTATTAAAGTTTTAGCAATTAAGACGTTTACTGTTGTTTTTTTAAAAATAAAGGAAAAGTTAATTTAAAAAAAAATACAAACAAAACTGAAAATACCTCAAAACTGGTATGTTGGACTAAAATAAAAAAAAATTTAATACCTAAAGGAAAAATTTAGATTGTTATCCTCTTTTATGGTAAAATTTTAAGCAATAAAAACGTTTATTATAATAGGAAAAAATATAAATCACACAAAATAAAGAAAAATAAGAAAATAATTTTTGTTACCTTTGGTTTGGGAGAGACGAGCTTCTTTTGTAGTATATTTGAATTTGTCAGAGCCTTGTTTAAAATCGAATTATCGTCGTCATTTCTGGCCGATGTCCCCGCAATTTCAGGTTTAAGGTTGTTTTCCTCTTCGGCAACATCCATAGGCGCTGATTCCGCCAAGGGGTCTCCTAATGAAAGAAAAATAAGAAAAACACGTACAAAAATAGTTGAATAAACAAAACTTGTTTCAACTTAAAATGTACCAAAGAAAAACACGATTCTAGAATAAGAAAATACAAGATCATTAAAAACCAGATCTTTTAATTACCTTTAAGGTCTTCTTCAGTTATATCTGCCGCGGCAAGTTTAACGATATTTTCCAAAGTCGAAGAAGGTTGTCCCAAAGCAATCGGCGACTCGTTTATGACCACTGCCGCTTCCAATGGGTAATCCTGACCCACTATCTTACCAGTTTCCGGGTCCAACACAAAATCACCTGGAAAAAAATCGACAAATTCCAAAAATACACTTTTTCGTAGTTTTATGGTGTATTTGTAAAAAAGGAATTATACAGGGTGTTATGTAATTAATGTTATATATTAAAATACTGAATACCTTTTGACATAAGGAATAAAGGAAAAATATTTTAAAAAGCATTTTTCCAAAGATAAAGAAAAAATATGCATTAGAAGTTTTTTATATTTTTTGTGATACGCCACTGGTTAAACACTTGTTTATCTCTGCACACCTGTATTTTGTGAGTACATAGATACCAACCAACAAAGTAGCTATGCGTTGCCAGATGTAAAAAATTGTTACTAAAAATTTTTCTTGCAAAAAATAAATAAAAACTCAATAAATACAAAAGTTTTATGCCCTTAAAGCTCTAATACCCTTCTGTATTTATTTACTGATCCAGCTATGATTAGAAAATTTAGTACCTTTGAAATTTGAAATCCATAACCACAAAATTAATTTTTTCATCAGTTTTTTTCTCTGTTTACTCAGATGAAATTGGGACCAGTTCACAGGTTAAACTTTAAACATTTAATTTGTGTAAATAAATCCAAAATAACTTCCCTTAGTTAAGATATTTACAATTTGAAAACATAACCTAAAATTTAAAAGAAATGCACTAGATTCTGTCATAAAAGTTGGCAGATTTTGTTTGAATTTACCTTCAGTACAAAAATGAAATAACCAACAATTAATAAAAACGCCAAATTGACAATTTGCATTGTTAATTTTGTCATTTTTATAATTAAGCTAAATTTAAACAATGTTTGTCAACTTTTTTGAGAGATTTTGGAAACTGTTGTTACCAACCATAACATAATAAATCCACCAGATTAACCCAAAGATCCTAGTCGATCAGTGGCGTACTTTTTGGTAGGATAAAGGTTATTATAAATTATTTTTAGACTTTGGAATTTAGAAAAAAAGTTTCAGGTGCCTCTTTATGGACCCTAAGGAACAACCCATTTTAATATATAACATTAATTACATAACACCCTGTATAAGAGTGATATAAATGTTTCTGTAACCAAATTAAGAAATTTAGGTTTTATAGAAGGCTCCTACCTGGGGGGCTGTCCGGCTCCGGTACGGGCAGGTCCGTGGGGAACTCCAGCTCCGGGATGCCGTCGTCGGACTCGTCCTCCTCGTCGACGGACATGCGCTGCGCCGCCTTGGCCTCCTCCTTGGCCCTCTGCGTGGCCAGCTTGGCCGCCTTGTCGGCCGCCTCGGACTTTTTCACTTTCGTGATGACGGGCTTGTAGGATTTGGGGGCGGGCGTCGTGTGTTGCGGTTTGGGCGTGCCGCCGCCGCCGCCGCCGGCGGTGGTGGTGGTCATTTGGAGGACTTTCGCGTTTGACGGTGAGGCGGGCGCGTTCGCGTCCTTTTTCACGATTTTTATCTGAGTCTGGCCGATTTTAGGCGCGACTTTGACGATCGTTTGCCCGCCGCTTGTCGCTACTTTCGATGTGGTCGAGTCGAGTTTTATGATTCCTGAATAAATGTAATTTTTTAGACAAATTGGAAGATTTACTTTTTTTAAATAACTTTAATTTGTCAAAAAAAATTATAAGGATATAAATGTTGTAGTTTGTCCAATTGACCAATTTACTTAAAATAAATGATAATTTCAAGAGCTACCAAATTTCAGGATAAAATATTTGTTAAAAAAATGACGCAAAAGGGGTAAAAAAAAGGGTAAAACCCGAGAAAACCATTTTCCAAAAAAATGGTTGATGTTTTTTAATAGTATTTTATATATCAAGTTTGATAAACGCCATTTCAGATACGAATTTCTAGAAAAGTGTATAAACGAGTTGCAAAACTACACTTTTTCTATGACAAATACTTATTATTGTCTAAAAATGATTTAGATTAAATATTTGTATAGAGCGACCTCTGTAAAAAAGTCAAAATGTCAAATTTTTAGGCTGAAGTCAGTTTTAAGTTATTTAACAGGTGTCAAATGTCATACAATCGTTAAAATAAAGTGCCTTTCTTGTAAAATATGAAAATTATTTTATTATCTCAATACAAAAATACAAAAGTATTCAATAGTTTCTTGACGAGATTGAAAATTTAGTATACGGTCGTTTTGAGGGGTGAGGGGTTAGATTTTTAGATTCTTAAAAATTTCCTTTTAAAAACTGGCATAGTAGGCCTTGTATTTTGTACTAATATGGCGTTTTTTGCTCCAAAAATACAGTTTATCTAGATCTACACTTTAAAACGAATCCGGCTAAAATCGCACAATAAATAAAGATTTTACAGGGGTGAGTCGCAAACAAATGGGACACTTTATTAAAAGAAAAAATCGTGAAAAGATTAAAAAATTAAGAAATCCTTAAAAATGTCAAAAATGATGAAAATCAAGTAAAAATAACGTTTTAATTTTATTAAAAAAATATATAAAAAGAAAAAAAACGTGTAAAGGTTAAAAAATTAAGAAAATCCTTAAAAATGTTAAAAACCATGAAAATCATTTGTAAATTTGTATTTTTAAATAAAAATCATGTAAATTAAAACTATACAAAAAAATGAATAAATTAAAAATTAATAAATCCATAAAAAAATCTTATAATTTTATTTAAAAAAATATATAAAAAGAAAAAAATCATTAAAAGGTTAAAAAATTAAGAAACAATTAAAAATTAAGAAATCGTTACAAATGTTAAATACAATTATTATTATTATTATTAAAAAAATCGTAAAAAGGTTCAAAAATAAGAATTCCTTAAAAATGTCGAAAATGATGAAAATTAAGTAAAAATTTTTAAATCTATAAAATAACGTTTTAATTTTATCAAAAAATATATAAAAAGAAAAAAATCATGAAAAGGTTAAAAATTAAGAAAATTCTTAAAAATGATAAAAATGTTAAAAACCATGAAAATCATGTAAATTAAGAATATACAAAAAAATTAAGTAAAAATTAATAAATCTATAAAAAAATCTAATAATTTTACTAAAAAAAATATATAAAAAGAAAAAAATCCTGAAAAGGGTAAAAAATTAAGAAAATCCTTAAAAATGTTAAAAATTTTAAAAACCATGAAAATCATGGTTTGTATTTGTAAATAAAAATCATGTAAATTAAAAATATACAAAAAATTAAGTAAAAATTAATAAATCTATAAAAAGATAATAATTTTATTAAAAAAATATAGAAAAAGAAAAAATTCGTGAAAAGGTTAAAAAATTAAGAAATCCTTAAAAATGTCGAAAATGATGAAAATCATGTAAAAAAATTTAAATCCATAAAATAACGTTTTAATTTTATCAAAAAAAAAATAAAAAGAAAAAAATCGTTAAAAGGTTAAAAAATTAAGAAAATCCTTTAAAATGTTAAAAACCATGAAAATCATACTTTTATTTGTAAATTTGTATTTGTATAAAAACATGTAAATTAAAAATATACAGAAAAAATTAAGTAAAAATTAATAAATCTATAAAAAAATCTTTTAATTTCATTAAAAAAATATATAAAAAGAAAAAATTCGTGAAAAGGTTAAAAGATTAAGAAATCCTTAAAAATGTCGAAAATGATGAAAATCAAGTAAAAATTTTTAAATCTATAAAATAACGTTTGAATTTTATCAAAAAAATATATAAAAAGAAAAAAATCGTGAAAAGGTTAAAAAATTAAGAAATCCCTAAAAATGTTGAAAATGATGAAAATCATACAAATAAAAATCATGTAATTTAAAAATATACCAAAAATAATAACAATCAAAATAGTTAAAAAAAATTGCACTTACCAGCAGTCTTCGACATGATGTACACGCCGGTGCTCAAGCTGGGCAGCTGCTTCTGATTGATCCGCACGACGCCGTTCGCATCGGGAATCAGCACGTTCTGCGGTATCTTGCTGCCCACGCCGTTGTTCATGATCGTCACCGTCTGCGCGCCCCCGCCACTCGACGTGACCACGTGGTGCAGCCCCTGGCGGCCGGCGGCGGCGAACTTCTTGGCCGCGCCGCCGAACTTCGGCTTCTCGTCCTCCGAGTCCGAGTAGTCGCCCATCTTGATCTTCTTCTCGAACGAGTCGTCGCTGTCGTCGTCCTCGTACGGGCGCTTCACGCCCCCGTCGTCCGCGTCGGAGATGTTGCCGCACCACGATTTCACCTGGTTCAAGGCTTTCTGCTTGCTGGCGCGCTGCGGCCGGCTGTAACGGCAACGTTGCAGATAAATCGCCAAAATTATGTTTTTTTATCATAACAAAATAATGTAAAAGTTGAAAGTTCCTTTTCGATTTTATTAAATAATATTGGAAAAAAACAAACGTTTTTGCTTAAAAAATTAATGTAGATTGTAGGGTTTTAAAGTGTAGAAAAAAATGGGCAAAAACCTGTTTGTTTGTGTTTATCCCAGGCCTTGGAAAAATTATCTTTTTTCGGAAAATATACACATTTTAATAAAAGTAGCAAACAACTTAACATTATTTTAATTTTAAAAAAATAATAAATTTATTACAGAAAAAAACAAATAAAACTATGAATAACTTTGAATAAACATCGGTTGCGTCCTTTTTGCAAAAGAAAGTCCATTGAAAATATCCATTTATAAAATATTAAATAATTTATAAAAGTAAATTACAAAATTATAATTTTATAAATCGATGTGTCAAATAAAACGATAGTTATCTTAATACAGGACCGAATTTGTTTTTTTGCGACCCGGTAAAAGATTCTTACTGAATTGTAATAATACGAATAATTATTACAAAATGCGGCCGGCTGTAACGCAGAGACAAGCGGCAACGTAAGTAAATCGACAAATTTATGTTTTTTGTCACCTAGAAACCATTTGTAATTCAAAATTGCGCGTTTGTGATTGGTGGAAATTAAGACGAGGGAAATAGTCATTACAAAATAATGCCAAAGTTGAAAGTTACTTTTCGATTTTATTGAATAACTTCGGAAAAAACAAACATTTTTGCTTAAAAAATTAATGTAGATTGTAGAGTTTGAAAGTGTCGAAAAAAAAACCGGAAAATTGGGGAATAATCTGTTTTTTTGTTTATCCCAGGCCTTATTATTATTTTTTTTTGTGAAAATATACACATTTAGCAAGTAGCAAACAAATTAACATTATTTTAATATAAAAAAAATATCCTTATTATAATTATTACAAAATACAAAATTACAAAATTGTCTTTTTTGGAAAATATACTCATTTAAAAAAAATAGCTATCACTATCAACATTATTTTAATAGAATAAAACTGAATTGAATTATAAATTGATTTAAGAAAATAAAATGTGTCTTTTTTGCAATTTGTAATTTAAAATATCCAATTACAAAATAATGAATGATTTATAAAGTTAAATTACAAAATTGTCAAATAAAACGAAAGTTATGTTAATACATCACCGAATGTTTTTTTTTACGGCCCGGTAGAATAATATTACTGAATTAAAATAAATTGAATAATTATTATAATTATAATCAGGGTAGGAAATATTCAGAAAAATTGACTTGGGCATTTTTTTTTTAATAAAAAAGAAAATTCAAATCACTGAACAATTTAAACGCAAATATCTCGAAAGCGATATTTAGAAAGTAGGTACATATATTTTTTTACGTAATAAAGATTAAAAACGTAAACACACCAAGGCGCAAAAAAGTTGTGACCTAGACTAATTTTTTAAAAAACTTAATTTTCCCGGCCTAAAAAACCCACAAAAATCAAATTTTGTGCAGAAACGTTTTTTAATAAAATCTTGGTTATTAATAATAATAATAATAACCTATAGGTTATAATATATTATCGACGTTTGGACAGAGGTAAAAACGTAAAAAATATGATTTAAACGCGACATTACGGTTTGTTGATAGTTGGTTTCTATGGTAACGCTTTTCGCTTTTGACAGTGGCAGTGACATTCCTATATGCAGTGTTATTTAAAATCTAAAAATGAGTACACTACAAAGAAAAAATTATTTAAAAAAAGGTATGGGGACAAAAAAAAATCAACAGAAAATATACAGCATGTTGAATGCTGAGAAAGTTTAAATAGAAGAGCAGAAATCAAAGAGAAGAAAACCATAGAAGATAGAAGGATTGTCTAATTATTTTTAAAAATATATGAGTATGAGTATGAGTATGAGTATGGGAACGTATGGCAAGCCCCAGATATATTGTCATCCACTGAACCCGGGGTTATATTACCCCCTTTCCGTTCTCCTGCGTATCCCGCCAAATCACAGCATTACCTGTGTTTGTTGGATCCGAAGTTTTTACGCCGGCTGGTAGATCCACCCTAGGAGTTCGTGGATGACAGTGTCAAAGGTTAAGGCAGCTCCCGGAATTTTTGTCAGCCGGGTCGGGCCATACGTCCAGTTTAGGAAGGGTTTTTGGAGGACATTGAACTGACCCAAAACTAAGTACAATCCGGAATCCTCCTCAACCTAGGCCTTAGTAGTACCCCCATTCAATTGGTATTCGTGAATGGGGGGTGGGTATGTTAGTTAGTTTCTTACTCCTATCTTTGTTGGTTTACTTCCGGTTCGTCAGTTTCTGTGTCCGACTCCGAGTCGGATTCCGGAAGTTGATACAGTTTTTCCGTCTCCTCCCGCATACGGTTTTTGTGGGAGCTGATTTGTTCCCAGCTGGCGAGATCGGTTTGTGAGAATTGGATTGTCAGGGCCAGGGTGTCGTGGAATGTGTAGCAAGATCTACCGCCTTTTTTTTGACCGGTTGCTATTGTTATGTCTGAAGGATATCTTGTCAGTACGCCCCTGTTCGTGATGTATTTCGATTGCGACGTTAAATATGTCTGATGCTGCTATTATTGTTTCTAATCCCAGCCAGAAGCCGTTTTGTGCGTGGTCCTTTAAGTACGCCTCTGTTTTGCGTTCCCAGTCGTTAATATGCGCGTAGCGGTGGGGATGGTCAAGGTTCGCATCCTGTAAGTATGGGCTGTAAGTCTCAATGTGTGTTCGTAAGTGGTTATTTAGTCTTTGTCTTAATGCGTATGTATTTATTGACCCTGTCAGGCTATTATCTAGTTGATGGGCCAAGCTGGCCACTAAGCAATTTCCGTCGGATGGCATTTTAATTGTTCCCACCGAATGATTGCTCGTGTTTACTATTTCCATGTTTGTTTGGTTTGTGTTTATTATTATTTATGTTTTGGCGTTTATTTATGGTATTAGTCAAGTGTTTATTTGGGGGATGGAGTCTTATCTGCCTTTTCTGTTTTGTTTATGTAATGACTTGTGTGGTCTGTCTAATAGGAATGTTTACTTTCTGGTGCCAGCTGGGAAACTTAAAATTCCTTTTCGAAATATGATACGTTTTACTAGATTTTTTGGAAAAAATGGTTTGTTATTAGACATGCACTGAGAGAACGAAATATTTGTTAATAACGGGGCACGTTAACTATTAACATATCGTTGAGTTGGATATGGCGAAAGAAATATTAATTTGGGTCTAAGAACTGGTTAAGTTGAATTAAAGAAGCTCATAACGTATTAGCAAATGTAGATATATTAACTGTTAGTATATCGAAATTCCATTTTGTAAAAAACTACGGCAACGTCACATGCTTGCGCATATTGCATTTAAAATTATGTTAACAAATGTTAAAACGTTTTATTTAGGTATATTAACTGTTAATACATCACAGTTCTAAGACAACTTTATCCTTTATTTGTCTGAAACACAGTCACCGGACGATGTTTTAATAATTAGTATATAATTTGTTCACGATTAAGAAATTTTTAATAGTTAAAAAATATTTTAAAAAATCGCAACTGTTTTGATTTCTTAATATTAAATGTTTCGTTTTCTCAGTGTGCAGTTAGAAAAATTACTTAGCTTGGATATTCGGCTATAATCCTGATGCTCGGTCTTTCACGGTCTGTCCGATGTTTTTGGACCTCCCTGCAGGTACTTGATAGGTTTTGGTTGTGACTATCCCTTCTGACCAGGTGGACCGTTGGCCTTTATTACTTATTCAATTGCACTCTTTTACGGCTTTAATGGGAGATCTCCCACTCTTCACACTTGTTTCACTTTTTTTTTTGCACTTGTTGCACTCTTTTTGCACTTGTTTCCCTTATCACACTTTCCGCACTTGAATGTTTATTTAATTATTTATTTATTTATTACCGATGACCGATATTTCCGAATACTTTGGTTTGTTTTTGGAACTTTATTATATTTCTCTCGTATACGCTGCTAGGAGAGGTCTCTTTAACCACTTGACACGTCTATCCACTTCGGATGTCCCAACGCAACACGTCTAATTATTTTTAAAAATATACAACTTAAAATGTTTTTTTAATAATTTACTTTGAAAACAAAAACAGTGTTGCCGCATTTTCTACACGAGAATGACAGATTGATAATTTTGGTGAACAAAGTCACATTTGCATTATTTTTCCAACAGTTGAATTCCGATTTTTTAAAGGGAGATAATATTAAATTTCTTCTTTTTTAACCTTATAAAATCATCTTTAAATTATTCCAAGAAAGAATAAAGATATAAAAAAAAATTTTAAAATTATCTCTGTAAAAAATAGTAAAACAATAAATCAAAAATACCAAAAAATATTGTACTTACCCAGAAGAATCAACACTGGGTACATATTTAGCCGCCGCCACTGGTGGGGTATACGTTTTTGGAGTAGAATGGGACATTTTAGGTCTACCCCTTCCCTTAGGTGTACCATTTAATTTCTGTTCAGTTTTGTGCTTCTTAAACCACTCCTCAAACTCTTCCAGCATTTTTTTGCAACCTGTTAAATTGCCAGGAGGCTCCCAAGTATTTTGGGAACTAAAAAAGTCAAAAATTAATATTTCTGTGTTTGTGTTGTTTTTTTACTTACTCATCAAAGCCCTCCCATTTGATTTGGTATTCAAATGTTTTTCTCCTTGGGTTGAAACGCTTGTATACGATTTTTTCCACCACACACTCTTTACTGACACTTTCTTGGATTATTTTTACAGCCCTATTTGTCTCCCCATTCTAAAATTTAAGAGCGTCGTTTTCAATCCTTTTTTATCAATAAATTGATAAAATAAGAATCTCAAACACCTAAAAATTAATCGTACAGACAAAAACTGAGAAACTTACCTTAGAACTGGGTAAAATAGTGACATCATCGTTCAGTTTAACCGGCTTGTAGATGCTCTTCTTCAACAAACTGGAATTGCCATCTTCACCCTCAAGAACCTCCTCCAAAGACAAAGGATCACTCTTAACCTCATTTAACTTGGCATTGCCGATTTTAACGCAAGTTTGCAGCATTTCTCCTGCTGCTATCCAAACCTGCTTTTCTGCAGGTTCCAATTTGCACCATTTCTGATAAATTATCCACGATGTTGGTTCTTCTTCGCCTTTCTTTAACGATTTTAGTTGTTTTACTTTCCATAGAGAAAAACCCCAAACTTGGGGCTTCCCTTCATTCTCACAAGCGTTTTTGATTTGCAATGAAGGTGTGCATGGTTCGAGTTTATGTTTTTGGAAGTCTTCAAGGAAATTGTAGACATCATGGCAAATTCCGCACACTAGTAAGTCTAGCTTTTTTACTTCCTCTTGTGCAGCTAAAATTGTTGAAATGTATATAAAACCTACTCCTATTGCAAAAAGTTAATTAATATTTTTTTTGCATAGATAAGTAACTAGCTAAGTTGACATTCTTATAAGTTATACCTATTAAAAATAAAAAATGAATAAATAATTGAATTTGATATATTTTGAAAAATAACAGTTAAAAAAACTAAAAAAAGGTTTTCAAAAAATCTGCACAATTATTTGTAAAACATAAATTTGTTATTTATTAATATTTTTCACTATAAAATCTTATACCTTTTTCGACCAAAAAAATGGAAGATAAAACCTATTTCAAGACATTTTACACAAAATCTTGTAATTACATTAAAACATTATAAAACAAGGAAAAAATGTGTAAAAATGTGTTAAAAATCCCTTAAAATATATTCAAGTAATTCAGTGTTTTAAATATGATTTTAATTAGTAATTTCATTTTGTTAAATCAGGTGATTTAATTTAATCATTATTTGTCTACATTCATTTAATAAAAATGCGGTAAATTTTTCCAAGATTGATGAACATCTGAATGGCAAGAAATTACTGATTCAGTTCAAAAAAACCACAACATAACCTCAATGTTGTAACACCTTTATTTTGGTGAATTATATAATAAAAGTAATGTTACCTACCTGTAATTAGAGTAGAATCTTTGGCTAACTCGTCGTAAACTTCCGTTTCACTCATTTCAGTCGGTTTTTGTACTGGCGCTTTATTTTCTTCATCTTCAAATTTCCCATCTAAAATTGCAAGCTTCTCTTCAATGCTATCATTTTCGGGAATTTTTGGCTCTTCAGCGGCTTTTTCCTCATTGTTTTCCTGCTTTTCCACAGGCTCTTCTGTTTTTTCGGGAGGATTTTCCTCTGAAGCCTCAGGTTCTGCGTTTTTTTCGGTTTCAGCCAGCAAATCTGTTGTGTCAACTTCCATTCTACCAAATGTGATTGCCACTTAATCAAATAATCTGGAAATAGCTGAAATGATAATAATTTAAAATATTCACGAACGAATTGGATATTTTTAGCAAAACATTTATATTGGGCGCCATAAAACGCGATTTAATCGAACTACCAATTAATTTGTTATGCGGGAGACGCAAAATGGCTGGTTCCCAAAGGTTTTCCAAAGCAGTGCATACCGAACGTATTAAGAAAAAAATTATCAAAAAAAAATTATGTCTCTCAAAAACATACGCACAAACCAATCAAACAACACTAATTCTATTAATTAAAATGCTATTTTTACCTTAAATCACGTTTTTTAATAAAAGTTTCACCACAAGCGTTCCAAACATATCGACAGTGCTGCCGCGTTGACTAACGGTACTAATCGATGGCGGGAAATTTTAACAGCCGCATTAGAAATTATTTCAACCCCATTCTACGCGTTATTTTGTATTTTAGAAACCACCATAAATCATAAATCAAATTTAGACAATATCGGCCAATATTTTTCTAACTTTAAAAATACGTCCCCCAAATGTTGGTAATTACATTGATTTTTTACTTTTATGTTTGGAGCATTGTTATCCGTTAGAAGAGGATGGAAATACAACTTCCGTTAATGTTGAAGAGAGAGCGTAGATTTACATAAGGCGGCAAAATTCAAAAAGCATTTCAATTATATTTAGATTTAATTAATTTATAACAAAATAATAAATTTTTTTAAAGTTTTATTAATTATTTAAAATAATTGTTATATAATGAATACATACAATTTAAATTAGGTATTTTTGTTGATTTAAAAGAAATTAGCTTAGGTAATATATTTTTCAAAATTTGTTTTGAATTTTATTAGGTACTTTTAAATGAAACTATAATAAACCTAGGTAAAGTTGTGGACTAATAGTAAAATCAATTTTTATTTTTAATTTATTAAAAAATCAGCAGTCCTCAACATTTCATTCTTCCTTAATTTTAAAGCAACAACAGAAACGTAAATAAACACGGTTTTCAGTCAAATTAAAACAAAATTCTACACGTTAAATCATCATGGGTGACGAAGAGGAACCAAAAGAGTACAGATGGGAAACCGGCTACGAAAAAACCTGGTAAATACAACAAAAAAGTGAGTTTCCCAAATTATAACCTACAAATAATTTAGGGAAGCAATAAAAGAAGATGATGACGGCTTTTTGGAGGCCTCAGTGGCCGATATTATACAAAGGGCCAAAAGGAAAAGGCAGACACAAAAAACTGGCACCACAAAACTAGGCATGATGAGGCATTTGTACATTTTGCTGGATTGTTCCGATGCCATGTCGAGCCAGGATTTAAAGCCTACCAGGCTTTTGTGCACAATAAAAGTATAGTAAAAATGAAATAAAATAGATATAACAATATTAAGAATGTCAAATAAAGCAATATATGAATGTATTTCAAGTTTACATTAATCTTAATGTTTTAGCTGCTTGATGGTTTTATTGAGGAATTTTTTGATCAAAACCCTATCAGTCAAATGGGGGTTATAATAATGCACAATAAAAGGGCCGAAAAGATAAGTGATTTAGCAGGAAATTCTCATAAACATGTAAAACAAATAAATTCGTTGAACCGAACATCTTTGGTTGGGGAACCTTCAATACAAAACGGTTTAGAAATGGCTTTATCGTCCCTAAAATTGCTACCAACTCATGCCAGTAGAGAAATTTTAATTATTATGGGCAGTTTGACCACTTGTGATCCCAGTGATATTAATGTAACTATTGAGGTATGAAAAAGACTATGGTCTTTATAACTTTGGAAAATTTGGTGTTTTATTACAAAATAATTTTATTTTATTAATGATTGTTGTTTATTTATAATTAAATCATCAATTTTTACGTAAAAACATACTTGTTTTAAAACCAAGAAGACTATACAGTTATAGTCTTCTAGTTTTAGACCAAGAAGACTATACATATATAGTCTTGTTTTTAGACGTTAAAACAAGAGGGCGTGCGTTGTTCGGTGATCGGATTGGCCGCGGAGGTTCACGTGTGCAGACAGCTGGCCAATCAGACGGGTGGAACGTACAACGTCATCCTCGACGACTGTCATTTCAAAGATTTGCTGTATCAACAAGTGGATCCGCCACCTGCGGCAGTTTGCCTCGATTCCAGCCTCATTAAAATGGGCTTTCCGCACCAGATGGAGGCCGACGGCAAAGAGGAGCCTCTAACCATGTGCATGTGGTAAAAAAGATTACTCCATTACGGGTTTTATCTCTTCCACATATATGAAGTTACCTAAATTAAGAGTTCTCTAAAACTGTGATAATTATAGAACTTTTAATTCAGTTCTTTAAAATTGATAATTATAGAACTCTAAATTTAGAGATCTCTAAATTTAGAGTTCTCTAAATGTAGGGTTCTCTAAATTTAGAGTTCTGAATTTCTAGAACTCTAAATTTAGAGTTCCGCAAATATAGAGTTCTCTAAATTTAGAGTTCTCTAAAACTGTAATAAGTATAGAACTCTAAATTTAGAGTTCTCTTAAACTGTGATAATTATAGGACTCTTAATTTAGGGTTCTCTAAAATTTTAATAATTATAGAACTCTAAATTTAGAGAACTCTAAATTTATAGTTATCTCGATTTAGAGTTCTCTAAAACTGTAATAATTATAGAACTCCAAATTTAGTGTTCTCTTAATATGTGATCTCATCTCATGTCGAAATTCTTTTAGCCATGTGGATAGTGTGGATGAGGGTAGCAAATTGACTACAGGGGGTTATTATTGCCCGCAATGCTACAGCAAGTATTGCGAGTTGCCTGTAGAGTGCCGCGCATGCGGTTTGACTTTGGTGTCAGCCCCTCATTTGGCCCGATCTTACCACCATTTATTCCCCGCTGCGAATTATACGGAAGTTGCTTTTGAAAAACAGGTTTCTCTATGTTTTGCCTGTCAAAAAACGTTTACCGAAACTGATAAACAGGTTTTATACATAAAATATTACTTTAACTTTTAATTTTTTAAATTTTTTAGGTTTACTCGTGTCCAAATTGTTCAAAAACCTTCTGCCTGGATTGCGATATTTTTATTCACGACACTTTGCATACTTGCCCTGGTTGCGCAACAAATTTATCAACTTTCCAGATTACGCACACCAGTTAATACAATGTTTATCGTATTTTTGTATGAAATAAACTAATTTTTAAGCTTAAAATTATGAGTTTTATTTATTAAATCCTTACGAATTAATTAATTCCGTTATTTTGACATTTCAATATTTTCAGGAGTAATAAACGAATCAAATCATTGCATTTCCTTTCGCAATCTAGTGTGCGGCGAAGAATGCCGTGCTTTTATTGGTGGTTAATCATTTCCGATAAAAATCAATTTCTATAAAGGGTATATATAATAATTAATAATTTTTATTCTATAGAAAGTATACTTTCTATAGAATAAAAATTAATTAATTAATTAATTTAAAATTTGCGATAAGTTTATCTTTTTGACTTACCCCGTACACGCTTAGTTCTAGTTTCGTCTATTTTCGGCGCTAGATGTCGCAATCTAACCTATTGTTTGTTTATTTTGTGCTGTCAAATTCTTGACGTAAGTTCGTGATGTGATATTCAAGTTTTTAATCAAAAAACCGCCTACCCGTTTATGACGAACAATAGATGCATAGCGAATTAGTTTAATTACAAGCCGATCCAAAAGGTAAATAAAACGAAACAATAAATTAATCATTATTTCTAATTAAAACCGTGAATCACATTGTTCTAATCTGTCTTATCATTAAAATACTTTTATCTCGATTAATTAATTAATCGTCCCATTAGTGCACAAAAATGGGGTGTTGGGGGACAACCTGGAAGATTTTAACCAGAAGGAAAATCCTTGATCCTGTGGCTGTACAACAATCACAGTTATCTCGGGTACTGACAAGCTTGGATTTAACAGCTTTGGGAGTTGGAAGCACTCTGGGAGTTGGGGTTTACGTTATAGCAGGAAAAGTTGCCAAAGACACAGCTGGACCAGCTGTGATAATATCCTTTTTGATTGCAGCCATAGCTTCCATCTTTGCAGGTTAGTATTTTGGTGTTTTTGTGTACATAGCTTTTTTTATTCTTTTACTCTACTCTACCAGATAACTGAGGAATTTGATATTTAACAGGAAAATGCAGAAAAATGATCACAATGTAATCACAATTGATTTATTTAGTAAATAATTAAAAATATCTCTTCTTTTATAAAGTATTTTTGTAAAGTAGGTATTTTGAGATTTTTTGACTAGGTATTTAAACATTATTTTTGGTACCTACTTTTAACATTTAGATGAAATTATGCCATGAAAATAATTTTTAAAGAAAATGAAACAGTAATAATAATTTTTAAAGGAAATGAAACTGTAATACCTATTTTGGTTTTTTTACCGTTTTTAAACATTTAGGTAGGTACCTAGATGGAATTATTTTATTTTAATAGTTTAGTAAGATACATTTCTTATCTTATATCTTGTGTGTTTTAGAAGTGTGGTAACAGCATTGAACATGTTTGTTTTAATAATTATTTTTATTACAACTAATTTAGATTATGTAAATACATTTTTATAAGGAATTTCTGATAAGTGTACTATAATTTACATAATATTCCGCCTTTGGTATGGTGTAAACAATAATATTTATAAGAATTGATATCTGAGTTGTAAAATTTGCATTTTTATCTGTATCTTATAATTCTGGGAATTTTGTATGGGTCAAATAAGGATTATTTTTAATTCAAAGGGTTGTTGAATATTTTTGGCAGAAATTTTTTGATTTTAGCTTGTTTTGTTTTAACCTCTTTTTTAAACTACACCTTTTGTCAAAAAAATTATAGACTAATAAATTTATAGTGCATATTGTATTTTTTTTATTCATATATTTTCAAAATGCTTATTTATTTATTTATTTAGGATTGTGCTATGCCGAATTTGGCGCTAGGGCCCCCAGGGCCGGCTCGGCCTACATTTACACGTATGTTTGCATTGGAGAATTTGTAGCTTTCGTAATTGGATGGAATTTGATACTTGAGTATGTCATAGGTATGTTAATCCCTTATATGTATTGTATAAGTAATTATATTTTTATTAGTTTGGATTTAGATAACAATTTCCTATCCTTAAAATAACACTGGTCCACAAATTTTAAAGTTTTTTTTGAATTGCCTTAAATTTCCATTTTAAACCACACAATTATATAAATATATATATATATATTAGACTGGGCCAAAAAAATTAACTATTTTTTTTTTGAAAAGTATATCGAAAATATGGTTTGGGCTGATAAAAAAAAATTATTGTGAAAGTTTAAGTCCATAATAGTATTATTAAGAGGTCTATCATCGCAATTTTAATTTTTTTTCCTCAGCATTGATTTTAACAAAATTGACTTAAAAATATTTTTTTAAGAAAATAAAATGCTCTACAAAAAAGGTTAAAATGAAATTTTCTGTCAGATGAACCGTTTCCTTAAAATCATGCCTTAAAAATTGGTATAGTTTTACATTTTGATCTTTTAAATTGGAATTTTGTAATTCATGTAAAAATCAGTACCCATAAAAAACCGATAAATATTCTTATGGGAAATCAAATGCTTTACAAAAAAGCCTCTTAACATTTTTGGCTAAATTCACTAAATCAAAAGTTATTCAAGGTTATCATGCCTTAAAAATTGGTAAAGTTTTACATTTTGATCTTTTAAATTGGAATTTTGTAATTCATGTAAAAATCAGTACCCATATAAACCTATAAATATTCTTATGGGAAATCAAATGCTTTACAAAAAAAGCCTCTTAACATTTTTGGCTAAATTCACTAAATCAAAAGTTATTCAAGGTTAAAATTTCGTTTTAACTTCAAATTTAACCTTGAATAATTTTTGATGGGGTGAATTTAGCCAAAAATGATAAAAGACTTTTTTTGTAGAGCATTTGATTTCCCATAAGAATATTTATTGTTTTTTTCAGGGTACTGATTTTTACTTGAATTACAAAATTCCAAAGTTAAAAGATCAAATTGTAAAACTATAACAATTTTTAAGGCATGATTGTAAGAAAGGTTCATCTGACGGAAAATTCCAATCAAACCTTTTTTGTAGAGCATTCAATTTTCTTCAAAAAATATTCCTAAGTTAATTTTGTTAAACTAAATGATTTGGGAGTTCTGAGACAAAAACTATGATAGACCTCTTAATATTAATATTATGGACTCAAACTTTCACCATATTTTTTTTTTGTCACCCCAAACAATATTTTCGATATAAATTCCAAAAAAAATATTTATTTTTTAAACATCTTTTCAAAATTAGAATAAAAAAACAAAAGTTCAGTTGTGTACTCTTAGGCCGCGTACCATACATATATAACATTTAAAATTGCGCACTTTTAGCCCATTTTACTATATATATTTTTATATTTTGTCAAAATAAAAAAGTAAGGCTTGCAAAACTGCGCACTCTTAGACCGCTTACCTTACAAAACGCGCACTTTTAGCCGACTTTACTATATTTATTTTTTTGAAACGTCCGCTGGATTAAAAAAAATATAGACCAGCGTTACAGTGGTATTTTGTTATTGTAGGATCGGCTAGCGTAGCTAGAGGCCTGAGCGGTTACTTGGATAGTTTATTGAACCACACGATGCAAGATGCGTTTATTGAAATAGCTCCCATAAACGTAGAATTTTTGGCGAAATATTTTGACTTTTTCGCGTTTGGTGTATCAGTATTGTTGGCGAGTAAGTTGAAAGTATGTTTGATGTGGAATTAGAAAATATTAGAAATATTGCTACCTGCTTTTCGACACTTTTACTTCAAACAGTTGGCCGTTTTTCTCATTCCACATCGCATTGTGAATTATATAAACGTTATATTTATTATTGATGTTATTTTAGTGGCCCTATCCTTTGGTATGAAAGAAAGTAGTATGGTAAACAATGTTGTAACTTTTATAAACATTGGTGTAGTTATTTTTACCATAATAGCAGGTCTTTTTAAAGGTACCAACTTAACTGTTATAGTAAGAATACTTTTTTATCTAAAATATTTTTAGCGGACATATCCAATTGGCAAATACAACATAACGCCACAAATTCCACTGATCCCTTGGGAAAGGGGGGATTTTTTCCATTCGGTATAGACGGGGTTATTAAAGGGGCGGCGACCTGTTTTTATGGTTTCGTCGGTTTTGACTGTATAGCCACCACCGGTGAAGAAGTGAAAAACCCCAAAAAAGCCATACCACTATCCATTATTTTGTCGCTTTTTATTGTGTTTTTATCGTATTTTGGGACCTCTATTGTTAGCACCTTGATGATTCCATACTATGAACAAGTAAGAAAATTATTTGTATTTAAAAAAAATGTTTATAAGATTGTTAATAAGAAATAATTGAGGTTATGTATCTGTCAGTTTATCGCTAATTTCGGCTTATTTTCTTATATGTATGGCACGCCGTTTTAACATTTATTGAATAATTTTTTAATTTAAAATTTTATTGGTTTAAAATTTTCCTAACTAAAAATTTTAGGTTTACATTTATAAATTTATACTATTTTCAACTATCATGTATTGAAAGACAAAATTTACTAACCAACAGTTCACTTCTGTATTAAACAATATTATTTTCTATCAATTTTGCAAAAATTTCTATCATTTTTTAATAAAAATAATTTCCCAAGTATACTTTATTTGGGTGGCATTTTGTTAACTTAAATAAATAGTTTATTAAATTATTGAGATTAATTTGGTAAAGTTAAATTTTTTAGTATTAAAAAATAGTATCAAGCCATTTAAAATAAATACATATAAAACTTTTTCTACCAAAATAGTTTAAAAAGTTAAATTTTTGTAAGCTTAAAACTATTGATAATCAAAAAATATTTTAAATATAAAATGCAACTGTAAAAGTTTAAGTTTAAAAATATTTATTTTTAAAAAATGGAATTTTAATATTTTATTCTTCAAAATTATTGGTTTGAATTTCTAAAGAGTCATTTAAATGATAGTCGAATGTTAGTTTTAAATTTTAAAGTGGTAATTTTTGCATTAAAAATTTACCGACTATCATTTAAATGACTCTTTACAAATTTAAACCAATAACTTTTATTTTTAACAATTTTAAATTGATACATTTTTAAGTCAAAATTTATAACTTTACATTTAAATGTGTCGATAATTTTTAAATTACAAAGTGTAAACTTAGCTTTAGTACACGGCACAAGAGTCTGGGATCGGAGCAACGATGCAGCCAGTTTGATCCGCAGTGTTGCCAAATCGTGCTTGCTCCATAAATATTTGACGCGTTTTACAAATTATCGTAATGAAATGTTTCTTTATTACATAAATTTAATAATATAACAACTACATTTTTGGTGCCTATTGTACTAAGTTAATTCGACAATTAAAAAACATCAACGGATCAAACTGGCTGCATCGTGGCTCCGATCCCAAACTCATGTGCCTTCTACTAAAGCTACGTTTACACTTTGTAATTTAAAAATTATCGAAGTACATTTAAATGTAATGTATTTAAATATTAGTCGATAAATTTTTAATCCAAAAAAATTACTACTTTAAAATTTAAAACTTACATTTAATGTAATGTGAGAATTTTTGTATTAAAAATTTATCAACTATCATTTAAATGACTCTTTAAAAATTTAAACCAATAATTTTGTAGAATAAAATATTACAACCAAAACTTTTAAAAATCAATATTTTAAAACATAAATTTTTACTGTTGCATTTTATATTTAAAATATTTTTTGACTATCAATTATTTTGAGTTTAAAAAAATTTAACTTTATAAATTTCTGTTTGACGGTGTTTTTTGTACACATGTTAAAATGTATAATGGGTTGTATACAACTATAAATACTCGTATTAAATCGGCAGTAATGTTCTACTTTACTGCCGATTGTTGACTACTTTACTGCCGATTTCGGATAAAATATATTTTTTGACAAATTGGGCTTTTAGGACGTTGTGGTGCCAATTCCACATGCTTTCGAAGTGGTTGGCTGGGAATGGGCGAAATGGATTGTGGCTATTGGTGGAATTTTCGGATTGTGCGCAAGGTGTGCTTTCTTTAATAAAATTAATTAAACAATTATAAACAAAACAACAAACTTTTGTAGTCTTTTTGGTGCGATGTTTCCTCTGCCAAGAATAATATATGCGATGGCCTCCGACTCGCTCATTTTCCGGTTTCTGGGAAAAGTCAGCGACAGATTCAAATCGCCGATTGTCGGAACAATGATATCCGGAATTTTGACCGGAATTATGGCCGGTCTTTTCGACATCGGGCAGTTGGTAGACATGATGTCCATAGGCACTTTGATGGCCTACACTATAGTGGCAGCTAGTGTGCTACTTTTAAGGTTAGTATTTTTTCTGAACGTATATTGTTTATGAAATTATTTTTGAAGCAGGAAAAATAATTTCAAAAAAATACAAAACCCTTCAATAAAATTTCTCGTGTATGTCTTGCTTTATGTGCTTGTAATGGTTGTTTAGGTACGAAAAGGAACATAACCAAGAATATATTCCAATAGGAACTACGTCAGATGACGAAGATGAGTAAGTTGCGCATGCCAATGTTTTTTGTTTTCTCTGTAAACCTTAAATCCAAGTATAGTCGCGGCCAAATCTCTATGGGTGCACGTCATCAATGCGATATAATGACGGCAGCATTACCAACTTTGAATTCTAAAGTTACTGCCATTAAATTCTAAAGTAAAAGAACTTTTAAGGGCAAAACTTCATTTCGATGAAGTTATGCCGGAAAGCAGTCTTGAAAATTTGGCATTTAAGGCTTTTCAGGTTATGTATCTGTCAAAGTAAAGTCAATGAAAGAAATACTATTTATAGTGTTACCGCTTATGTTTAAGCGTTAAAAGTTAATAAATCTTTATAGTATCACAATAACAATGGTTGGTTTAAGAATTTAGGAATATAAATACTGCATTTAATGAAATTGCAAAGTGTAAGGTGCAATATAAGTGATATTTTTGTGCATTGGGTCTACATTTCTCCATAAAATAGTTTTAACTAAACAGCATATATTAAAAAAATCTAACTTCTCTATTATGAAATAAGAATATCTGTATCAAAGGTAGGTTAATGTATTAGAACAAAAAATATCATCTAATTTTGTATTTTAAGGTTAGAAAAATCTATTTTGACCAAAATAAATATGGATTATTTGAAAGAGTGTGTTAATATGGTCATAAATAGATATAGGTATACTAAATAATTGTTGAATATGGTTCAAATTAAATTGAAGCTTTTGTACTTATAATGACAAAACTTGTGCATACCTCTCGGCATACCTACTTTAAGTTAGATTATAAGAAAACAAACAATTTTTAGAGAAACTTGCAATGTGAAAATATTTAATACTCCCATGACATGTGATTTATATGATTTTTCGATGTAGATCAAATTCAGTTGAAGCTTTTTAGCTATAGTTAAAAAGCTATATATTTGTATTGACAAAACTTAATGTAGGTACATTTTAAGCTGGATAAGAAAAACTACCACATTTTTAAATACCATATTATACAGTCTTTTAAATAATCCAAAATACTTATTTATTTTGGTCAAAATAAATTTTTCTAACCTTAAAATTACAAAATTAGATGATATTTTTGTTATAATATATTAACCTACCTTTAAAACAGATATTCTTATTCCATAATAGAGAAGCTAGATTTTTTTTAAATAAATGCTGTTTAGTTAAAATTATTTTATGGAGAAAACCAGATATTTGGACCAAATGCACAAAAATATTACTTATTTGGCACCTTACACTTTGGAATTTCATTAAATGCAGTATTTATATTCTTAAACCATCCATTTTAATTGTAATGTTATAAAGATTTATACATCTTAACGCCTAAACATAATATTATTTCTTTTGTTGACTATACTTTGACAGATACATAACCTGAAAAGCCTTAAATGCCAAATTTTTAAAAGACTGCGTTCCGTACGTGGTTACGTGGTGGGACTTTGAGGTGTGGAGCATAGTACAATAATTTAAACATAATCTTAACGCTGACGCCTTATGCCGTTGATGACGTTCACCCATTGATATTTAGCCGCGACTATACGAATTCTTATTTTTTAAATTTAACTTAGATACACTGACAATAGGATGTCTACTAACAATGACGATGCAGAAACGTTCAACGATACGGAACCCATTTTGGAATACGTACCAACTTCGCAGTATTATATGCAGCTTTTTAACTGCAGTTCGTGGGATTCCCCCACAAAGGTCTCAGAAAAAGTGTCAACGGTTCTTGTGTTTTTATTCTGTGAGTCTTTTTTTCTTTATAGGACATCCAAAAACGGTTGTTATGAAAACTATTTAAGTCATCCAAATTTTTAGGTGTATTTTCTGTATGCATAGGACTATGCGCACTGCTCTTGAAAGAGCAAATTGCCCATGGGGAAATATGGGCCATCGTTTTGTCCTCCATATCTGTGACTCTGGCTGTGCTGACCATTATTTCCCTTACACTGCAACCAACCTCAAAAACGGAACTTTCCTTTAAGGTAACCAAACCCCAAAAAACATTTGTCTTAATACACATCAAAATTTAATTCAAGGTGCCATGCGTGCCCCTTATCCCGGCCCTGAGCATATTGGTAAACATCTATCTGATGCTCATGTTGGACTACCGAACGTGGATCCGATTCGGAGTGTGGATGGCAGTCGGTAAGTGTAGAAAAACCACCCCGATAACATCCCCCAAAATCTTGCATGTTGTAAATAAGAAAGCATGACTTCTAATCCCTAGGCCTGCCGGTATATTATTTCTCTCTAATACCGGCCGAAACACTAAACACCCCAATCAAAATCTACGAAAAGCACAAACAATTGAACGGTTGCGACAACATGGCCTTCGAGTTCGACGGTAACGGTCTCATGACCTTGAAGAAAAACAAGAGAAAAGCGCCTCTCGCGCCGCAGACCATCAGAACAGCGGCCAAAAACGTTCTGGAAGATCTCGACAAGATTCTAGACATCGCCGAGGAGAATCTGGAGCAAAATACCGCCAACGATGATAATAATAACCATGATGGTTCCAATCTTTCAAGGACCAGCACTGCTTCCTTTAAAAGTATTCCAGAAAGTCCGAAAATAATCACAAAACAAATTGAGGAAAGTCAAGCTCCAAAAGACAACATGGAAGTTGTTTCTGTGTACGAAATAAGGGAACATTTGACGCCATGTTATGCAGTTGAGGAAACAATTCTACCATTTGAAGAATTGGAATTGGATTGTTTGGAAATCGAGGAAATAAATACACCAGATGATGAATCTGATACCGCCACATTGAGAATTGTTCATGATGAAACTAAAGACGAAGAATCACCTAGAATCATTGAAGAAAGACCTAAAAGTGTCAAAGAAATAATCGCACAGTTTGGAGAAAAAGGTCCACCAACGCCAAAAAGTAGAAAAACTAGTAGAAAATCACGCGCAGATTCCTTCACTGATGTGCAGTTGGTACCAATAAGAAGACCTTCTCTGGAAAAAATGAAGGAAGACTTGAGAAGAGTTAAAATAGAGGAACAGCTTGAGAAAGCATTACAAAATAAAATTGAACAACCTTTAAAGGAAAATTCCATGGAGAAATTTGCAAAATCCGAAGAGTCTTTAAGAAGCACTTCTTTCATGCTCAAAAATATCAAGTTAAAACCAACAGTGAAACCAAAAGAAAAAGTTTATGAGAATGATGACAAAATACCCGACCCCCCATCCATTCCAATACCCCCGGTATTACCATTGACGTCAACAAAAAACACTGCAGGCAGAAAACTGAACAGACCTACATCATTCCAACTGAAAAACGTGAAACTTAAACCTACAGTGAACAGGAAATCAGAGCCAGCATACCTTGAAGACCAAGATGAAATCCCAGGAGTTTCCGAAGAAAACTTCGTTACAAACAACAAAAACAAACTCTCCAACTTCAAGGATATACTGAACAACACTTTATCAAGAAGCCCCGGCATGCTCCTCAATCAACTGAAGTTTGATACAGAAGAATCGCTTGGTAGTGCTGAAATTCCGCCACCAGATAGCGTTATCGACGAGCACATAGATAAGGAGGACGCCAAAAATAAACTATCAGAGTTTCTGAAAACTCGGCCGTCTCCATAAATGTTTTGTGTGCTTTTGTGATTTTGTTTGTAATACTCCCCCCTCCCCCCTATCAAACGTATTGCTATATCTTGGAAAATATATTTCACAGAAAAAATTAACTATGTATTATCAACAAACAACAAAAATTAGATATAGCAATATGTTTTGTGGCCCATTTCTTTGACTAAATCATAATACTGACAATGCTTTTAATATTTTTATTTAAATTACAGCGTGTTTTGTTTCTGCTATTTGTGTTTGTTTGTAGGTTTTTCTGTGTATGGATTTTATGGTCTACCAAATAGTTTTAGAAATTATAGAGATTATGAAAGAATAGAGTAATATATTTTATATTAATTATTGACTAAATAACATATTTTGATGTTGATATATATATTTTATTTATACATTGTATGACTGAATTAAAGTATATTTTCCTTAAATTTTAACAATATTTGTCTTTTTATTTCGTACAAACCAAGGTTTCATATTTATAATATATTTAATTTAAAACCATCTGTAAGATTTCCCTCAATTATAATATATATATAATATATAATTTTCCATTTAAGTATAGGGTATACCTACTTATTATAGATATGCTACTAATTGGCCAGTTGGCATAGTTAAACAATAACCACAAGTTTAAAGCAATATTTGTCAATATGATGAAAAACAACGGTTTCCAAAGTAAAAGCGACTTTTTCTTTTTTAATAGATGGGTTTTAAAGGTGGCTGGGCTATGGTCACCAGATAGTAAAAATAGGCGTATACAAATAATTTACAAAATGTATTCAATTTTTGTATTTATATCAGTGTACTGTTTTTACGTGATATCCGAATTCATTGCTCTACTCTACACGTACAAAAATTTAAACGATTTTACCAAAAACCTTGGTATAGCCCTAACTAGTTTTATGGCTACTGAAAAAATAATTTTTTGGCATGTAAACAAAAATAAAATACAAGTGATAGTGAAGCGATTGGAGGAAGATCAATTTAAGTACGATGAATGTGAAGAATTTCACCCGAAGAATATTTTTTTCGACTACAAAGTTTCCGGGTTGAAAATTACAGTGAGTTTTTTAGTTTTTGGTTATTTAACATTATTTTTTGCGTTTAGTGGCCCCATCGTGGTCACTGTTGTAAATATAATTAAGACAAACTCCTCCGAGGATTTTTTACAACCCAATTTTTTACCGTACTATTCCTGGACCCCCTACAAATACGACACCCCAAAAATGTACTTGGTGGCTTTAATACTACAAGGTTTCAGCAAGTTTTCTACGGTCCAAAGTATCGTAGGACTGGATTGTTTGATAATTAATATCATGAATTTTATTGCCTGTCATTTCGCGTTGATTCAACAAGCTTTCCTGAAAATCACTGAAAGAAAGTTGAACAAAAAGATTTACTCACAAAATTTGACACCCAGTGAGCATCAAATCATGGAAAAAGAAATGAAAGAGATGTGCAAACACATACAGAAGTTATTAGAGTAAGTCGTTTATGAACATGTTTGATATTACAGAACCAAACTAGGAACCGTGTGGCACACCAACTAAAAATTTGAATTTTAGGATTTGTGGGGACTTGAATGAAATTCAACGCCACCTTATATTGTTTCAATCGATGGCTACTTTGTTTATTTTGTGTACCAGTTTATATATAACCTTATCGGTACAAAAAAAAATATTTAAAAACTGTTTTTGATTTTAGTGTTTTTTAGAACCCATTATTTACTGACGAATTTTTCGCGGGAGCTTTATACTTATTGTGCATGGGGTTTCAGATGTTCATCCTGTGTTGGTTTGGAAACGAAGTCACTTTAAAAGTATAACATACAGGGTGTGTGGGAATCACGTGACAAATATTTTTTAGGCTGATGAATTGTCCATGTATATTTGGAGGTCGAATTGGATTGCGATGAGCAAAAACTTCAAAGATAGCTTGATTTTCACTTTGCTTATTTTGAAAAAACCTATTTACTTTAACATTGGTAACTTTGGAGCTTTGACTCTTTCAACTTTTGTCAGTGTAAGCAGAAAAATATTTTTTGTAAAATGATTTTTAAATCTTAATTTATTTTTAGATTGTCAAAACATCTTATTCATTTTTTGCTCTAATTCAACAAAAAAGTAGATAAATTGCAAACCTACATACAGGGTGTTGAAAAAAGGGTAAAATAATCAATTTGTACATTTCAAAATACTAAAATTGAAAATTAAATAAATTTAAAAAAACAAGTTTTTGTAGAAATCACAATCCACACAACAAGGTCTGTTCTTTAGCAGTTCGCGCAGACTGAAAATCATAAAATACTTGCCGCCATTTTGTTTGTTTACGTTTCAAGCGGGTAGATTTTGATTTGGTTTAATTTTGTGCTTTATTGTGTTTGATTTTGTGCCTTATTTGCCTTAATAATAATAATTAATACAAACATAAACATTGTTAAGTGTTTGAACCAGTTATTTAGTTGTTTATTTGTGTTTTGACTGTACTAGTGAACAGTGGCGGCCCGTCAGGGGAGGCAGTGCCTCATCAGAGAGAATTAAAAAATTAAGTATAATTTAAATATTTTACTTTCTATAATATACTATAAATTTTTAATATTTGGATTACATGAATTGTGAAATAGTCAATAAAATTGATTGATTTTATACGTGTAATACCCAGCAACATTTAAATTATTTGAATTTGAAACGACCGCAATTTAAACTAATATTTATAGCTAGATGATTGGCTCAGAAGCATGCCTGAACTAATTTAGACTCACGATTGGCGTTAGCCTTGTTGTCTCGTTCTATTACAATGCGATATCATAGTTGTCTCTCGTATTAGCATACGCGAGGCAGGCACGCCTACATCCAAGGAAGTAAGCAGGTGTTGTGGCTAATTTCTTGCGGAATTTTAGATAAATTATACTTCACAAGTTTTTCAAAATTCAATAATAAATGGTATCATTTTTCTTATAATAAATCGTTTTAATCGAAATTATATTTCTATTATAAAATAAATACAGATTCCTTCTTTAGGTTTGTTTTGGTTATAAAATTCTGAACTGTTTAAAGAACAAATCTGTGGTTATTTACGCAATATTTTGTTTATTCTTTTTCTATAAGTTTGTCTATTTTATGATTCTTTTGTAAGTGGTTTATTCTGTGGGATTAGTTAATTGAACTTGGTGATTTATGTGAATTTAGTCATTATGGATATTACGGTGAGAAATTGTACCGATATTGTGGACTTTCTTTTGAACTTTACATTTAGTCGACTAATCGTCTTTCTTTCGATGATAAAATGTTTGTTAAGGGTTTAAAAAAACTTCTTCGCATTTAAATGAGGGCGAAACCCTGCCTCTGCCTCACCAAAATGAAATGTCACGGGCCGCCACTGCTAGCGTACCTTTTTGAACCCCCCGCCCACCCAACCTATCCCTTGTCTATGTTTGAACCTCAATTGTGCAAATCTTGTGTTCTAAATTCTAATTCTAAAATATTAGCACGATTTTTACTTTTTAACTCTTGGTATAAAAAGTTAAAAAACAGGGTAAGTAAAAACCTTAAAAAAGTTTAAATTAACTGGTAAAATACATATATTTATATTTTTAATTTTGACAGATTAGAGGTTATAATTTGTTCCACATATTTCTTCAACAAACCATAGAACCTATGAACAAACAAACTTTAATATAATAACTATAATTTCGGGGAATTTAGACTACGATAACGGCCGTTATCAAACTTCTATTTCGGGGATTTTAAATTACCCGCGACAAGATGGAGCAAGTGTTTAATGACGTAGGTGCGCACAACTGCACCGATTTTGGTTCAAATTTTTAAGACCTTGTGTGGATTGTGGTAGAAATTTGATAGTAGTGTGAATTGACCTTAATTGTATAGTTGTCACTGTTTTTGTTTTTAGGTTTTCTCACATAATTATGTTTAGTTTGTCGCATCTCTACTAATTCTGCTAAAATTTAATAATTAATTAAATTTAATAACTAATTAAAGTTGAGTCAGATCGAAAAATGACAAAGGTTTTTTTTTAACACCCAAAATTATAAATTAGGTTTTAGCAGCCATAGCACCAATTAAATGATAAATCACTGCAAATTATTTTGTTTTTTTTTTTACCAAAACACCAGATAATATTTTACAAATATACGTGTTCCTCCAAAAACCTACTTATTTATATGTCCGTTATTTGACATTGACACATTTTTTCACCTGATTTAAATGGTGACAACAGAAAAACAATTAAATGTCGGGTTTATGGAATTTTTTACAAAAATAAAAAAAAATTTAACGGGACACCCTGTATATTTTACATATTTAAATCCAAAAATTATTATTCAATATTAACCCTAAACTTAAAATTAACAATTAATACGCACTTGAACTTTCTAAAGGTTGTTTAAAATTTCAATACCTATCCAATTTATTACAAAAATCAGAAAGTTAAGTTGTTTATTTTTAATTTTGGACAAAACCACACAAGGTCTGTTCTATCTTTTTTTGCGTATACTAAAAATGACAACGTTAGGCAACCCACTGCACAGACTCTAACGGCGGCCATTTTTATGTTGTTTAAAATTCTTGTGCTTCGGGCATTAACCATTTTACTCCTATTTTGTAAAAAAAAATAACCTTATTCTCTCAGGGCTGTCATAAAATTGTCAAATGTCAATTTCTAAGGTTAATTTGTGGTAAATTAACCTTAAAATTGACATTTGACAGTTTGATGACAGCCCTGATAGAATAAGTTTATTTTTTAGGACCTATTTTAATCAGAAATATTTATTATTTAATTTATTTTTACATATTTACTAATTTCCTACTATAAATAAATGTTCAAAATAAGTTTAATAACGGATGAATCAATTTCGAGCAATTTGTTTTAATAACTATTCGCGATTAGTGAGTACCTAACTGAGTAATTGCACGATTTTAATTTAAAAAAAAATAACAATGGGTTCAATGAAAAGGTCATCGTTTCCTAGTTAGCGACAATTTCCCACATTACAGACCTGTTGTGGAGTACGGACCTGTTAACTTGGGGATAAAACTGAATTTAAAGCATTTTCTGTAGCAAATAAATCAGACTGTGAGATAAATAATCTTGTGACGTAATTTTTGGTTTAATTGTGTTAATTAAAAAGGTTGTAAATACTGAAATGGGAGTGGCGCGATAATGCGAGCGAAATGTCAAATATTTAATAAACAAATGAAAAATTCGCAAAAAGCGCGTGACGCTTTGACAGTCGGGAGCGACGCATGCGCGCAGTTAGTCCGTGGTTTCTGTTCCGTGCTTCCAGTTCGCAGATATGTAGTTTGCTGTGTAGTTTTGTTTAGTTTAATTAAAAATGTCCACATTAATGTGGTCGTGCCCTTGTTGTTTGCGTTTCAAGTTCACGCCGGAAGAACTTGAGCAACGCTACAAGAGCCAGGAGATCGACAAAATGATCGAGAAAGACAAACAGGCCATGAAAAGACAAGTGAAGTTGTTGTTGCTAGGTGCTGGCGAGAGTGGCAAATCAACGTTCCTCAAACAAATGAGGATCATACACGGAATCAACTTCGAGAGTCACTTGATCAAAGATTTTCAGCAGGTCATCTACCAGAATGTCATTAAAGGCCTCAAAGTTTTGGTTGATGCCAGAGACAAGTTGGGCATACCCTGGGGGGACACCAGCAACACGGAACTCGGCAGGGAGTTTTTAGTGGTTGACAATAATTTTGACCAAAGACGTTTTATCAAATTGTGCCCCCTTGTGGCTCGCCTATGGCAAGATTCTGGCATTCGAAGAGCCTACGACAGGAGGAGGGAGTTTCAACTGGTTAGTACCAATTTGCGAATTAAATCTAATCAAATAATAACCTAATTATATAAGGTGGTACACAAAATGCTATTATTCAAGCAATTCACTTAACTAAAAACAAAAGGTATACTTTGACTTATGTTCTGTGCTTTGACAGCTAAATAACCTGAATGTCAAAGTGACTATCAGATGGATTGGTTTATTTTTAACATAATGCAAGTTTTCTATCAAATATTGGGTTTTATAATACCCAACTTAAATGTCCCCTTTTTCTAAATATGTAGACAATTAATTTAAATTTTGTACAATTAAAACTAGAGAATTATTTTAAACCAAAAATAGAGATTTTTAAAATGACCATGTTGGCAACACTGATCTGTCATAAGAATGTCAAGTTGACATTGTCAACATAGCTAAATATGTCAACTGTCTTAAGAATGTCAATTCAAGCTAGATATCTAGCTTAAATATATTTCTACACACATATAATGTTAATTAAGAAATACTTTTCACTCAACTATAGTTATATCTGTTAAGAATATCAATTTGAGCTAGATATTTTCAGAATGTCAATTTTAAATATAGCTTGATGTAGTTACCACCCTGTATAATTATATCAGATATCACGTCTGTATGTGTTTTGATGAATCAGGACAATTTCTCATATAAAAACTTACTCATATATTAAGTTTCCTACATTGTTTAAAATCTAGACAAATATTTATTAATATTCAGAAACTATGTTTACATAGGTAGCTAAATACCTACATTTAAAAAACATAAATAACGTTTTACCTGCCCAAACTAATTTTATAGGAGCAGTTCAAAGAAACTGATTTAATTTGTTTAAGTAACTGTTTCCCAATAAAATTTATTAATAACCACATGATTCATTCATTAAAACCAACAATTTCTATGCGTTTCTATACAATTTCACCCCACAAATGTATAATATATGGGCACATTGTTACAACATAAAATTTGACAGTTCTTTTCACAGTTTACTATGATAAATTACATTTTATGACCAAGGGTCATTATCTCAAAATTTGACGTTTTATTATTGTTAAAATACAGTTGTTTTTTCAGCTATTTTTATCTAAATATTTGCGTTAAACTTAGGGTTGTTAATGTAGGTCATTTATGGTACAAATAGATACAGTTTTTTATTGGAGCAGTTCCAAGAATGTGTTCTTTACAGATCTTAAATTAATTGAGACAAATTAATCTCCATCCCAGTTCAAACTCATGATAAAAATTGTTCATTAATCATACTTTTATGTCTAATGCAAAATATCCTGTTGTTGTGTAATTACTTTTATTAAATTTACCTGTAACATTGTTATTTTTATGAGGACTTAATAATACATATTTTTAGATGTGGTGTAATAAAAATTCGTCTAAATCATAATCTTCTTTAAATAATGATAACCTCAATTGGGTTTTATGGCTTTCGGCAAATTTTTATGATTTATGACCATGTAAACATAAAAAATGTTAAACCTATTGATTAACAACAAAGTAAACTGTGACCTTGGACTGTCAAATATTTTATCAGTAGGTGGGCTGTGAATTTAAAGACTTTTGATTAGTGAAATAACAGTTACTTCCCTTCTTTTAAGCTTAGTTAACTGTCAAACAGTATATAACCTTACTTTTTGATTTCAGAGTGATTCAGTGGAATACTTCTTAAACAATTTGGACAGGATATCAAAACCTGAGTACATGCCTACGAATAAGGACATTTTGCACTGTCGAAAAGCCACAAAAGGTATCACAGAGTTTGTGATACCGATAAACAACATACCATTCCTTTTTGTGGATGTGGGAGGTCAAAGATCGCAAAGACAAAAGTGGTTTCAATGTTTCGATTCCGTAACCTCGATTTTGTTCCTCGTTTCGTCTTCTGAGTTCGATCAAGTTTTGCTGGAGGACAGGAAGACCAATCGTTTGGAGGAATCGAGGGACATATTCGATGCCATCGTAAACAACAGGATTTTCGAAAACGTTTCGATAATTCTGTTTTTGAATAAGTATGACTTGCTGGAGAAAAAGGTGGCCAACCCTGAAACCGACATACGCTGGTACTTTCCGCAGTTTACAGGAAACTCGCATTCAATGAAAGACGTGCAGGAATTTATTTTGGCCATGTTCACTGGGGTGGCGCGAAACTCGAAAAAGGGGCTGTACCACCACTTCACCACCGCCGTCGACACGGAAAACATCAAAGTTGTGTTTAATTCCGTCAAAGATACCATCCTGATAAGAAACCTACAAACTCTTATGTTGCAGTGAGTTTAGTGCTTCAATATACGTAACAAAATAAGAGCCATGGAGGTTAAGTTTGATTTTTGACAGAAAAAAGTCATTTTTGACAGCTGTCAAATGTATAACCTACAAATGATGGTTTGTCAATTTTTAGGTTATATGATGGTTTTTGAAGGTTAAAGACAATGATTCAACCTAAGAAATTACTCAAGAAATGTTAAATTGTCAAATATAACAATTTAAAAGATTTTCATGGATTTACAATTGATTGCTGTCAAAAAAGTGCTTATGTCAACTTTTGACATACAAACCTTGTTTTCTGTCAAAAATAGTAAGACTCCCTTTCTTTATGGCTGCCCCTGTAAATAGTATAGGCTGTGTTAAACACAAATTTTACTAAAGACTGACTAAGTGTAATTAGTCGTAGTTATTTAATTGTTGTTTCTTTTAATATTTTTACGGAATCGATGGAAGTTCTTTTCAAAACAGTAAATAATTTAATAGTTCAGAATTTTACGAAAATTTGTGATATGGGTAACAATAATTTTTACGGCTTGAAAAATTGTACATAGTCTATGTAAAAGTCTATTTTTTGGTATTTTTTAAGAAATTGTCTTCCTTTTATATTTACCTGCACAAATTTATTATTTTAAAGACTTGCTCATATGTATTTGCTAATATTACCAAAGAAGCATTTTTACTTGACCTAAACAATGATAAATAGCAAACAATTCAACGGGTTTTGTATTTAAACAATTCTGTTTAACAGAGTTTAAAGGTAGGTATATAATTATTTGTATTATGATATTACTATTTATATATAGAAATAATAATATATAAACTGCCAATGTGCCTCATTAAAAATAATTTTGCATTGTGTATTAAAAAAAACTACAAGTTTGTATGAATATTTTAATATGAATTTCAATTATTACAATAATAATTTTAATGCAAAATTATAGCATTTTATCAGGCCTATTTATGAATGTTTATAAGTAATTTATTACTCATTTGAAATATTTGAAGTGGACACAAAATAAAATAAATCATATTCATCAAAGACTTGGCACTTAAAAACGATCTACAATTTTAATTCCCCCTGTTTTGATATTTGTGTATATTGTAAATATTTTATAAACACTATAGCTACATATATAGATATATTTATACATATAAAAGTGTTTTAATTACATTAAAACAATTATAAGTGCCTTATAATGTGTTCTAAAAATATACCCACGTAAAATTTTATATGAGCTTTGTAATAAAATGTATATATTTTCTTTTAAAATATTTTTGTAATTGTTAATAAAAATAATATTAAATGTCCCTCAATACGCGTTTTATTCCACATTTAAAGAATTATTACCCATAAAAAAGTCATAAAAAGTACATTTCAGTTTTCATTTTTGGTTTAGTTGGCAATATAGTTTAGTGGGGAATATTATTGCGGTTATGTTATAAGTATAAGAATGTTTACATTTAAAAATTTCAATTAGGTAAGTTAACAATTGTTAAAAAATACAAAAACCTTACCTTGTAACCTATTTTGCCTTGTGGTTAAGAGCACAATCCACAATTATTGTGGTCCCCTAGAATTTAGTCTTCTTGACGTGTAAAGTCAATAAACTTTTAATGTCAAATAGTGACATTTATGTCCTTAAAAGTAAACATCCTAAAATGACATTCAAACACCGATATTATTAATGCCGCAAACTCATCTGCAAACATGATTTTTTCCGAGATACTTCTGATAGCAAACGAGCTGGTTTCGAACACAAAAAACTTCAAAATGTTCGATATCGAAACCCCCGAAGATTTATACAAGCTGTTTTTCCTGTGCCACATATTTTCATGGCTAGTGGTGCTATGGAAAATTAGATCATAATTTATTATAATGACTGTTAATAAATTTCGATTTGAATAACTAGGGATTTTCGTTTTATTACGTTGGTAGTCCGTGCGTCTGACAGTTACAACTGTCTTTGTCGGCAACAAACTGTTGCGTTGTTTTGATTTTCAAAAATTTGAATTAATTATTGTTTACAAGAGTTTTACAAGTGATTTGGACGTTATTTAGTGAAATAAAATAAGTGGAATAAGTGTGTAATAAATGGAAAATAAATATATATCGTCTGCTCACATAGAAAAATTGGGTATGTGTTAAGTAAATTATTTAGACCAATTTTTATAGGTTATGAAATCGGTTTTAGGCCATACAATAACAGAAATAAGGGAAAGGGCGCTATTTAATATTGTATGTAAGTTGGATAATGGTTTATTATTCGATAATGACTTGGCTAGAAGTAAAGAATTGTTAAATAAGCTATTTAATTGGTTTTTATTTGACCCTTGTACAAATGAAGATATTGTTTTTAAACTAATCAAAAAAATACTAAAGGTACAAACTATATAACTTCAAAACATTGTATTTGATTAATTTTGTGTATATTTTACAGTCAGAAACCGGTAAAACCCTTATAAATCATTATGGAAACAACATAATAATAAAAGAGTTGAAAAAAATAAGGTCTTATATAGAACCAAAGTATTTTAAACATGTAGATGAATTAATGGAAATGTCCAGTAATTTTGTGGATGTGCCACCTCTTGTGAGTGATTTACCATTAAGTTATAGAAGCACAGACACCCAAACTGCCAGGAAAACATTTGGGAGTACAGCTACAACACAAATTCTGTATGTTAACAAAGACGATTCTCTAGATCAACAAGATGGGTAGGAATTTTTAGAAAAAGCGTCTATAAGAGCTTAAAAATATTATTTTAGCCCTAAAACTTATAGGATTGAGTCCAATAGGAGTAGTAATAAGGAATTAAATGAGACGGTATTGGATTGGCTGCCACTGGTGGAGCCAGATCGGCATGTTTTAAAGTCTGTAGAGCAGTCTTTGTCGAATCCGCCTCAACCTGTTGCTTTGCTGCATTCCTGCGAATTTTTTGTTAGCGTTTTGTTGCAGGATTTCCCTGCTGAGGTTTTTATACAGAGACCTGGTATTGTTTTTGTAAGTTTTAGAATGCAAAGAGCTTAAAATTTATTCTTGAGGTTTATGTTTTAGAATTTTTTGAATTTGTTGGAAGTTTGCTTTTCAACAAGAGTAACAAATGCAGTTTTAAATTGTTTATTTTGTTTAACAAAGGGTTTGAAATTGAGGTTGAGTCAATTTTTGGATCCTTCTTTAAGAAGTTTTAAATTACAGGTAAGATAAAACTTATTTTTGCAATAAAACTAGCGCAAAAACAAAAAATAAAAAATTTCACTTTTACTCAAAGTATTTTCAGTTAAGTTCCGGAACTTCAGGAAGTACCAGCTCTAAAAGTTCAAGGAACAGTGCAATTAATAATGAAAATGATAAATATGAGACTTGTGAAGATACAATTTTATTAAAAAATGCGCAGATTTCAATATTGAAATACTGTTACATTACAGCAAATAAAGTGCTAAGGTTTTTATGTGTAAAACCTGAAAATTTAAATAGTGAAAGAAGTAAATCTAATAATCAGGTAATAATTTTTTGTTTGTCAAAAATAATTAAAATAGTAAAAATTATTTTTGTAGACTGCCTTAAATTTATCTGTAACATTAATTGAAGAAATATTAAGTTTACTATCATCAACAATAAATTGTAATATTTGGGACATAACCCAACAAAACATGAAACAATTCAACGAACTTTTATTTTCCTATGGACAAACTTTGGATTTTTTAAGGTACCTAATTTAAAAAGTAGTATTTAATTAAATTTGTATTGATTGATATTTTAAGGCTTGATTCCACAACATGTGAAAATAATTTGAATTCCAGAGCGTTATATTTGTGCACAGTTCTAAATTGCGTTACTTTAACAAAAAGTGCTTTAGCGATTTCAAATTCAAATTCATTACCAGCCAATTTTAAAAACGCCCTGTCCAATTCTCTACTGGATGTTTGCATGGCAAGAATTTATCCTGAAATGCATGAAAGCATACAGAATTTCGTCAAGGTAACTAACTAAAATGTCTAAAAGTCTTAAATCTAATAATAATAATTGTTGTTAGAAATTTGACTCAGATGGTGATACAAAAAAGTACAATTTAGTGAAAGGTATTTGTGATGGGATGAATGCTGCAGTAAAAATTCTTAAAAACCACAAACACCAAAATTTTCACGAATTTTTGCATTTTACGGAAAAAAGTTTGCCTAGTGTGGAGTTCCATAAAAACTTACATCTACTAAAAATCTACGTCGAAGTTGTGTCTGAAAAATTATTTTTGCTGAAGGATGATGAGGAAATGCAGGATAAAGCTGAAAGTAAGAAATTGTAAAACAAAAATTTTGAAAAAATTAACATTATTTTTAGATATCACTTTATTTTTTTTGTCGCACAACTCAGTTGAAATCAAGGAAGAAATGTACAGGCTGTGTCATTCCAAAGTTATCGGTACAGTCGGGCCGAAAATAAATTTGGGAAATTTAGGATCGCCGATTTTTTTTATTTTGACCGACAAAATTTTAACCGAAATCTCCATGTTTGGAGTCACTTCGAAAAACTCAAAGGTAAGAAATTTAAGGAAAAAAAATTGCGTTTACTTTTGTTTTGTTCCGTTCTGCATGCAAATAATTTATGTAGGAAAAGGTTAAGAATTGAGAGTTTAAAGGCTTAAATCCTTTTAGATTCAGATTTACTCGGAAAACATTTTAAACCACATAATAAAGAGCAAAATATTGGTCTCAGATTCAATATGGAACAAAACCATAGAATCCTTAATAACGTCACTACCCATACTAACCTGCCACGCGCACAAAGAATTACTATTGGGCAGGATAATCGTCAACATCCTTGATCCCGACACAGCCAAGGACCTTTTGTTCCCGAAAATCACAATTTTAAAAAGCAACGCTGCTTTGTTATTCTCCAAAGACGATACGTCCAGGGATGAAGCTTACTCGAGAATTTGTTGGCTTTTGGCAACGCAGGACGACGCCAAAGCCACGTTGCCAAGACTCAATGGGTTGTACGATAAGGCGTTGTCGAATGTGTGCCGGCAACCCAAGATAGTAGATTTGAACAAGAGCAGGATGACGCAACATTTTTACCAAGTAAATGTCGATCCATAATTTGATTCACGTGTGTATCACACGTGAGGCACATGTGTATCACGCGTGAGGCACATGTGATACACTCGTGAGTCACATGTGATACACTCGTGAGTCACATGTGATACACTCGTGAGTCACATGTGATACACTCGTGAGTCACATGTGATACACTCGTGAGTCACATGTGATACACTCGTGAGTCACATGTGATACACTCGTGAGTCACAGGTGATACACTCGTGAGTCACATGTGATACACACGTGAGTCACGTGTGATACATGCGATATTGGCATCTAAAATTAAAATTCTTATAAACCCTCTTAGCCAAGTAGCTTATACCAGATAGTGGACGTCCTTAAATCAAAAAACGTGGAACCAGTGATCAGAAGGTCCGCCGTTACTCAAGTCAGCGTGATGCTCGAAGACGCTCTGCTGCATCAAGTTTTTCTCGACTTAGGGGGCTTGGACGTTATCGTTAAAGTAATCAAGCATGCCTTGATAGAGCAGGATTTCCAGGACTATCCCGATTCGGTTATTCCTGCAATCGCTGCCTTGAAATTTCTAGCGCTGCATCATGGTAGCGTTAGAGATTATTTGAGCAATGAAGTTGATGTAATAATATCGATTTTAAGAGGTAGAAAATATTTTTGTCATTACTTAATGAAAATAATAAATAAATTGTAGCGATGTTTTTGTATTTTACCGAAGAAAGAGTAAAACAGGACGCCAGCATTCTCTTATTTACATTATTGTATAAGGATTTTATTATTGGCAGTCCACAGAAAGGCAACTTTTCCCTGCCGCATTTTGTCTATGATACTTTACATGTCCCATTTATATGCGGTACGCATTGGAGCCAAAGTCCATACACCAATGAAACAATTTGTGGTAAATATTTGACAAAATTAAATCTACAATAAATCGTATTAATTTATTTTTAAGATTCCATAGTGAAAGATAAATGGTGTTTAAGTTCCCTTCAAATACAGTGGAACATAGAAGTTTTCGGTTTTCAAAATTTGCTGAAGCTGCAAGAAATTTCGTACAGCGACTGTAATATTGAAGTTCCCGACATTTTAAGACTGAACCAATACGATTTTGAGTCGATAAAAAGATCTTCAATCGATTATTGCATAAAAGAATCTTTGGATGATATACAAAATGGCGCATCACATTCAAATGTGATTGAATCTATAAATAGCTTAACATTGTAAGTACAATAGTTTTACATTATGTATTTAACGTAAAACTAATGATTGTTTTTAGGTATTTGAATCTGCACAACTTATACAAAACCCTAAAAAAATCCGACATGGATGACATTTTATCCCATCCCTGGGAAAAAACGTTGGTGAGGTTCCTAAAAGTGCTGCCCTCTAGTGAGGAGGATGTGTTTCTATTAAAGGCGGTAATTAAGCTCCTGAAAGTGCTTGCAACGTGCCACAAAAACTCCGGTAAGTTAAATTTTTTTATTCTTCCAGCAAAAACGTACAAAAATGAGTCTCCAGTCTCTCCTTGGCCAATTTTTGGTCTCTGAATATGATATCCATTTCGGTCATTTCGAACCCGTCATTGTTAACGATAACGTCGATTGAGTTTTCCGTTTTGCTGATATTCTCCGCAAAATTCTTCAATACATCTTTTTTGGTGCAATCTAACTCTATCACGGTTATTTTTTTGTTCTTCGATATTTGTATTATTTCCTTTTTCGCCGTTTCCGCCTTTTTCACGTTTTTACTTGCCAATATGATTTTGCAGTTTTGTTTTGCGTATTCACGAGCCTTTTCATAGTTTAAACCTTCAAGAAAGTATGAGAAGTGTTTTGAAAAATGAAAACGGTACAGCTAAGGTACTTATTTCTCTATTTGTTTTTATATCTTAATTTTTTTCTTACCGATTTTATCTAGAACCACAATGGCGGTTCGATTTTTCATTTTAATAGGTCTATTCTTGTAATAATCTATAAAAGCGGTTATGATATATTTCACAGGGACTAAATAAATTATAGCTGTAGCTATAGTAATAGTGGACCACTTCACCATTTTACAAAAATACAAAATTTCAAACAAACTAAAATAAAATTTTAAAATAAATGACAGATTTATGATTAATCAATAATGATAACCTAAAATTATATTGTTTGTTATCAAATACACGATATATCAGAATTTTCAAGGTTTATTATATCCCAGATAAGAGTTATGTTACATTATTAATGTTTAACAGGGGCAAAATAAAAAATAGTAGTAATTAATATAGCTAATATAGCTACAATAGCTATTATAATAGTAATAATAAACCACGTATTCATTTTACAAAACTACCAAAAAAACTAAAATAAATATCAATACAAATGACAGATTATTATTATTATTATATCCTAGAGAATCAAATTCTCATTTCAGAAAGAGAATGCTGGATAAGTCAATTCCTAAAAAACCCAAACACCTGCATTTTGGATTTGCTAGCAATCGACAACACAACCGAAGAAGAATCCAAAATTTTGTCAGAAGAATTGTTGAAGTTAATTTCAATTTGCGCATGTCAAGAACAACACTACCTGGATTATTGCTACCCCTTGAAACTGAAACCCCAAAAACCTGAAGATGCCGCTATGTCATGGCGATATGTCGTTAACATACTATCAGATACCTTGAAGTTTAGTGACGCGCAGCATTTTTATAATTTGGGTAAAAAAAAATTCTAAAATTCTTTGCGACTTGAAATACACTCACAGGCAAAATAATCGATCCACACAAATTTTCGATGAATTTCAATCGCAAATAACTTTTTTATTTGATGTCGGATTTAAACGAATATTAAAGAATATTGTAGATAAATTAATAGACAATCGCTCACATTTTAAAAAATTACTAAAAAATTGACGTACGTTTATAATATACAGGTTTAAACAAAAATATGTTTTTACCATAAGTTTAAGACACTCTGTAGAGTGGCCAAACCGTATATTGTTCTAAATTAAGTTTTATTTATCAAGTCACATCTATTCTTAACAGTTTTGTTTTTGGTTCACCTCGATATATTTATTTTTGTGGAAAATATGGATTTTTTATAAAAACAACATTTCAATTTCAAATATTGTTTCTGTATGAAGAACTAAGGTTGCTATGGTCCATCCATAGGCTATGGAGGATGATAGTGACAGTTTTGTTGAATCATCCCATACTTGGACATGTCATACACGGCTTTCAAAAGCTATCAAATTGTTTTTTGCAAATTAATGTTTAAATTTTGAGGTGTCCATATTTTCCACAAAAATTAATATATCAAGGTTAACCAAAAACAAAACTGTTAAAAATAGATGTGACTTGATAATTAAAACTTAATTTAGAACAATATACGGTTTTGCCACTCTACAGAGTGTCTTAAACTTATGATAAAAAACATCTTTTTGTTTAAACCTGTATATTATAAACGTACGTGTATTTTTTAGTAATTTTTAAAATGTGAGCGATTCTCCATTAATGTATCTAAAATATTCTTTAGTATTTGTTTAAATCCGAAATCAAATAAAAAAGTTATTTGGGATTGAAATTGATCGAAAATTTGTGTGGATCGATTATTTTGCCTGTGAGTGTATATTGATATAAAGTATTAATTATCATATCCGGTTTACTTGTAGCCTACCTAGACTCAATCCTATCCTGCCTGGTCAACCTGACAGGCAGCCTAGGTTGGAGCGAGTGTAAACCCAGCCTAACCGCTAAAGAACCGATACCGCAGATGATTAAAGTGCTGTGCGAACTTCTGGTGGCTTTCCACTGCGGTAAAGGCCAGTCTGCATCCGTATCGGTGATGGGGTTGAGCATAACGCGGCACGTTTTGCTAATTTTAAACCACACCTTAGCCGAGATACAAAATGCCAAGGCAAAGGTGGGTGGCAAATTTTTTTTAAACGCGATAATAACGAATGGTTCTAGGGTTGGGAGAGTTTGTTTTTGGAGCAAAACATTTTCGAAAATCTCATAGCTTTGTGGTCGAGTCGCGATACCGTACTAAGAGCAGCAGCTCTTCAGCTGTTCAACGGTTTGGTTTTGTCCGCTAGGATGGCCGTGGAAGTTGTCAAAAGTAAGTTTTAAAGCATACAAAAAATAAATTAATAACAAGATGTTTCAGTGAAAAATTGCGGCATATGGGACTTGACTTTTTCCGTCATCAATGATGAATCTGAAGCGAATATAGTAAAGGAAAATGCCTTCTTACTATTAGCCAATTTGGTAGCCCATAATATACCCAACGAAACTTGTAAAAATGGTCTTAAAAAACAAGACTCCATAGGGTACATTTTGGGTTTAACAGAAGAACACAATTTTTTCACGAATGTAGAATTAATACTAACCAAATTATTTACCATGGATTTCACGCAGGACACGTTATCCACAGGTTATTCAGCTTACACAGAAAGTACTTTTTCATCCTCAAGAAGTTCACAAAGCTCATCAAGCTCCAGAAGCGATTTAACGGATTCATTGAGAAGTTACGTAACAACACCAAGTTTGGTGAAAAATATCGCCATATTCATATGCAACTTGATGACCCTTGCACCCACAGAAGTTACCACAAAGTTGCACGAACAAGGGATTCTGAAACTCTTGCTGAGGTAAGTAAGATTCTTAAAACGATACAAATTGAAATGAAATGTTTTAAAACAATAATTATAGATTATAGATATAACTTTAACATTTTAGGACCCTTTGTTTACCAGCAATGTCGATAAGAAACACCAGAGAATTATCTCTGTATTGCGATCTTTTGGAAATGAATTCATACGTGTGTTCGTGCCTTAGTATGGCCGCATCATACAACATTTCATGTTTGGGCACAATTTTACACACCAGGGACTGTTTCAACATCGTAATTTCCTTGCTAAACCCGAAAATATACCGTAAGTAGAGGGTGACTCAGGGAAGTGATAAAATGAAAAACTGATTGTTAAACAAGCGGTATAATATATTATTTCTCAAGGGTGAAGTCGATCTCCATGCATCCTAAGGGGGCGTTTGTTTTTGCATCCACCAGGTTGTTTTTCACTCTAAATTTACCGTCAGGTACTTCATCTTTACCCTTGACAAGGCTGAAGTCCAGATGATGGTTGGTCAGTTTATATGCGCCCTAGACAAAGAATTTTCACGAAAATGTATTGTTTTAAAATTTCTTACCTTTGGAATGGGACAAGTCCCTTTTTTTAGACCTCCAGCCTCCATCATGGCATCCGAAAATTCCCCCATGAATTTCTCCATGAATTCACAATAGGTTACCTCGATTTTCGTCAAGAACTTATAGTCATTTGCGGCGGAATCGAACTTGGCAACTTCAACATTATTCTGAAAAAAAAATGTTACCCCACAAAACGATTTTAGCACGTATATTTTGTACCTTAACATTGTCACCAATATCGATATCAGTTGTAAGAGATGCTTCTTCCACTATTTGTTTGTCGCCATCATTTTTCAATTTGGCCTCGAATTTTATTTTGTAGTCGCCTTTTGGGTCGCACATACCCAACTTACTCACTGTAGCAGTACCATTCACCAGCTTAAATATAATTTATGGTTCTTTTTTAACAGTTGGACAGAATATCTCAAAAAGTTCTAAATTACACTTTATAAAGGTCACCCCTAGATAAAATACTAAATTTTTGCGATTACCCACGAATTTACTAGAAAATGGCATTTTCATTAAAAAAATAATACCTAATTACGAAACGACGAATTTAGCCAATTTGGGACTTTTGGTGAAAGTTGTTTATATTATCAACTTCAAATGAAAAAAATGTGGCAATGTCAAATTTTGACTTCTATTTTGTGTTTGCCTTTTTTAGAAAAATGTCACATTTTTATATTTTATAGACACAGATTATAGAGGTTATAAATCGAAATGTATTTCTTGAAAATTGACAGTTTTTCACAGTGAAAGTAAAGAAAATGTTTTATGAGGACAGTGGAGTCCGTACCCGAATTTAAGTACTGCCGGCGAAATTAAAAGGTCAGAACAATGTTCATCTAAACTTTTCAAATATTGGCGTTGAGAAACTATTTAATACTTTTGTATTGAGATAATAAAATAATTTTAACATTTAGTATTATTTTACAAGAAAGGCACTTTATTTCAACGATTGTATGACATTTGACAACTGTCAACCAACTTAAAACTAACTTCAGCCCGTGACTAAAAACCTGTTGCTTACTTCAGCTCGTGACTAAAACGCCGTAAAGCCACAACTTGTCAATGTGTATTTAAAAGGTCACTTAGTGTCATGGAAACATGTACGATAAAGGGCGTTTTAAAGGTGGGAGTAGAAAAAATAATTAAAAAAAAAATTGAGTAAATGTAGTAAAATGGAGCAATTATTATTATATTATGTTTGCATCAAAATTGTCAAATATATTCTTCTTTTAGTAGACTATACATTTAATAAAAAAACGCAAGAAATATTTTATAAAATTCGTTAAAAATAACGACCTACCCCTTTTTTCCTGGTCGATTTAAGATGGAAAGGGTGTCCCATAACTAATGGGCAATACAGAAACTAGGCTTGTTTTTACATTTCCTGTATTGTCCATTACCTATGGGACACCCCGTATATGCCGTATTTTTAGGGTAAGAGTAAATTAACTTAATGCTGTATACACCAAAAATGATATCTATTTTCGTACTTACGACTAAAGCTGCCAGTAGTACCAAAATCGAAATTCTAAGCATTTTAAATGTGAATAAATCTGCACTGATTATAATTATAATTTTGTTTTGTATTTATACCATATTTCAAGGATAATTAACATAATCTGCAAATTAGATCGTACGTTTTTGTCAACAACAATACAAAAAATCAGATGTAATTATGTATATTATACTATACTAGTAATGACAGCCTTTTTCATGTTTCAGATGCTAATTTACCGCAATTAATCTATTTAAGAAACTGCTTGTGGAGCGAAATTTTTAATTTGATTTTAATAATTTTTAACCTCGACAATAAGGGTCTGGAGTCGTTGGATATTTTTTCCGGCACTCTATCGGAAATAGGACCCGAACCTTTTTTGGAAACTTTGTGCGAGTCTCTGTGCTCTATAGGCTCAAAAGGTATATAAAGGTTTAAAAGGCTCCAGTAGGTTTTCATTTACGTTTTTGTAATTTTAGATTTGCAAACTTCAGCCCTAGCATCGTTAACATCCCTTCTACGCGTAGATTCAGGCCGACCAACTATAGTAAACGAAATATCTCCAAGTTTATCGGTACACGACTTATTGGATAGTGTTAAAACACCAAGATCATTTTTGGGTGATGAGGATAATGATGATGAAGAAAACATAGAGCCTAGTAATATAAACAAAAGTCCAATTGACTCCCCCAAAGAAAGCATGATAAAACTGTTGGAGGAAACATATTTTGAAGGGTATTGTTTAAAGAAACCCAGTAAGAAAGTTGTTCAAAGTTTGGAAGTTGTGAGATGTGATAATATTAATATGTCTGGCAGCGAAATCTGCAAAATTCTGCTGTACTTGTACGATTTAGAGGAGTTAAAGTCGAAGAAAGATGCAAGTAACGCCAAAAAAAAATCTCTGGTAATTGCGGCCCTATCAGCTTTACTGTGCGTTTCGCAGGAAGCTAAAAAACATGCTATGAATAATGGTTTACTTTTCAACATAATCAAAAAGTTACGGGAGTTCGTCGTTAAACTAAGTTTGGATTCCGTGGAATGTTTAAGGAAAGTTTCGGATAAAAAACGCGTTTGTCCGATTCTGCAAGAGTTGGATGAAGTCGTGGGTTTGGCAACGAATTTCATGTATCGGAATGACGAAGCTAAAAAGGAGGCCGACAAATACGATATCGCCGACGTTCTGCATAAGCTGTGGGGGTGGTTTAACGTGCAGAACTCTTATTTGCTGGATGTTCTACGATTGCTCTGCACGTTTACTACAAATTGTTCGTTGGGTAAGGTGTTTAAATAAGTTAAGAGGCATTTTTTCAGTGTGATTTTGTAGCTTGCCAATCGTTGCCTCTGACAAACCCAGTGGCCGGATCTGGACCCAAAAAGTCACCAAACAATTTGTCTCTTTTACATGCCATCATAACTTTGATAGAGAAGGAAATGAACCAGATTAGTAGAACGCACGATCTCACAGCTCTGGAACTTTCTTTTGATATTTTACATAATTGTTCTACCGTTTTGGAGTGCAGAGTGCTTTTATCCAAGGTACCACCTTAATTTATGGCACCATTAATAAGTTATTAATAAAATAGAGTAGCCAATCATAGGCAAGCCCTAGCAGAATGATTAGAGGTGGGACAACACAAACTTTTGTAGAATTTCCACGTATTATATTGTGAAATGACCTTAATTTTATTTTTTACTGTCACTGTCAGTGTTTTGGTTTTTTAGGATCAGGAGTAATGTTCATTTTTTTGTGTGGTTCAAATAGACCTACCTTTTCTTTTTGTTATTTTTTTTAACGACTTAATAAATACGTTAATACAAAGTTTATGGTGATATACTTTTTTATATAAGTTAAAATAATTATTTTATTAATTAATTTAATTAATTTTAACATTATTATTTAATTAGAGATATTTGAATGATTATGTGATAATCACAATCCACACAACAAACCCTGTTTTATCTTGTTTCGCGCATACTAAAAATCACTGCAACACTGCGCAGAATCTAACGGCGGCCATTTTTATGTTTATACAGAATAAAAATCGTTTTAAAAGTTGTGTTTCTTACAGAGGCACTTGTAAGCCTCAAATGAGGCCTTTAAGTGCTAAGAACAATCATTTTAAACCTTATTCTATCAAACTATCATACTTAAATTTGTGGGTTATGGTAAATTAACCTTAAAATTTAAATTTGACAGTTTAATGACAGCCCTGATAGAATATGGTTTATTTTTTACCTAAAACGGTTGTTCTTAGCACTTTTAGGCTTACAAGCGCCTCTGTAAGAAACACAACGTTTAAAACGATTATTATAACCTGTATTAGGGCCGCCAATTTTTCCTAAAAAAGAATCTCTCGAGTTAAAACTAACCTAAAAACTAAAACACTACGATTTTATATAGAATTTATAATATTAAGCTGCACATTATAGTTCTCCCACCTCTAATTATTCTGCTAAAACACGCCTGTGATTGGCTTCTTTATTTTATTAATAACTAATTAATGGTGCGTCTGATCGAAAAACTACTAATAAATAAATAAACAAAATTTTAAATTAAAAAATTATTTGAAGGGCAATCTATTACAAAGTATATCCAGACTTCACCCTGCTCTAACTAAAAGGCAAAAACCATGGAGCACAATAGAGCTAATTTGGCTCAATTTCCTGCAAACTTTTACGAAATATCCTGAAGGGCAAACATGTATAGCGAAGATCACCGACGTTTTTGAAATTGTGATGAATTTAACCAACAGCACTAAAGCCGAAAATCGTATTTTGGCGATGTCAGTGCTAAGGAATTTGGCTTTCTATCAACCTAATAGGCCTAGATTACTATCTTCTGGTATGTAAATATAAATATATAAATTTACGAAAACTATGTTGCAATGTTTTAGGTGAGTTTCTGAATATTCTCCAAAACAAATTGGAGTTTGGGGACAAAGAAGAGAAAAGCCATGTGGTTGTAATAATGTGGACTTTGGCGGCAAACAGTCAGAAAGCCAAACTAGTACTTAAATCTGCAAACTTGGAAAAAAAATTGCAAGACGCTATAAAACAACGCAAACTTATGGGAGATTTTAACACTGAAGAGGAGGATATTAAAATAATGTTCTACGTCTTAAATATTCTTAAAGATAGATAACAATAATTAAGCCCTACAATTTTTATTATTACCTGTTTTACATTATTTATTAACTGATTTTAAAATAAATATATTTTTATAAATACATGTTTATTATTTTTAAAAGTTAAATTTACCGTAAAAGTCATGCATGATATGAATAAATGTCACTAAAAATATGGAATAAATATGAATGGAATGTTGTTTTTATTATAAATAAAAGTTATATATGGGACAGGTTTGCCTTTGGTCATCTAACATAATAATTTTACAGGGTTGTGTAAATTATTACGTCTAAACGGTTTTATAATCCTGACATATACGAGGTGTGTTCAGAAAATACCGGGAATTTTCGTTTTTTGAGACAAATATTTATTTATTCGTCTACATTAATGTTGTCGCCTTCAAAATAGTCCCCATTGGATATTATGCACATGTGCCAGCTCTTCTTCCAATACTCGAAACACTTTTAAAACTCGATCTTTGGGATAGCCTTTAGTTCTTTCAGCTATGCGCTTTTAATGCCATCTATGCTTGCAAAACGACGGCCCTTTAAGGTTCTCTTTATTTTTGGGAATAGAAAAAAGTCAGACAGAGGCATGTCTGGCGAATATGGAGGCTGGGGCATCATTACATTATTGTTTTTGGCCAAAAATTTTGTTCAAAATTTAACAATTTTAGAACAAATTTTGCTGCCACGCGTTTCATACCCAAAACATTCGAAAAAATTTCATGGGATGAGCCAATCGATATACCAACATCATCAGCGACTTCTCTGATGGTTTATAACCATTTCTTCCACTTTTTCCATGTTTTTATCGGTTGTTAATGTGCTTGTGCGCTCGGGGCGTTCGTCATCTTCAAAGTCTTCACGGCCATCTTGGAAACTTTTATACCACTTGTAAACTCTTGTTTTACTTAGAGCAGACTCACTATAGGCCTTTGTTAACATTTCACAGAATTTATTTCATTTTTTAAGCAAAATTGGATACAAATTCTTTGATCCATTTCTTTTAACGAACGAAAATCACCGAGCTCATAAAACACGTCTAACCTTAGCGGCTGCCACAGACAAAGTAAACAATGAAAACAGCTAAAGTTTTATTCATACTTCGGGGGCATATATACCAACATAATAAAGAAAATTTTATGACAACCGGACCCTCCGAACCCGCGAAATGTAACAATTCCCGTTATTTTCTGAACACACCTCGTACAGAGTGGAACAAAAGTATCAAATAATGGCAAATTAATAATTTGCAAGAATGTCGAAGAAAACATTGCTTTAAACCAACAATGAATATTTATTTTTTAAAGAAAAACAATAAAGAAACAATTGTTAGTATAAATTTAAATTGGCAGCGAGTCGTTATAAATATTTTTTCTCGCTTTTTTTCAAAATTGTATGATTGAATAGAAAAAAATCTACATTTTAGTTAAAGATGGCAAACAATTTTTCTTTGCTGTACAAAAATAAAAAGTTAAAAATTCTATTCTGAACATATAAATGTAATCCTTGTTGCCTATATTAAAACCACATATAAAATCCATAATTCAATTTAAAAATTGAAATATTTTTAATGTTTTATATAACAAGTTTATTAATAAAATATGCAAATAAAAAATATAAAAATCCTCTTAAACCAATTGACTCACAAAGTATGTTACATTTTAAGCATATTTTGTGAGCCCCATTGAAACTAAAATTCTTTGAAAAATGTTTGTGTAAATCATTATAAGCCATAGATGGTAGTAAAATATTAAGTATGACGTTAATGACAATTTATCACCGCATAAGTAATTCCTTTAGCTGATTTACTAGACCACATTTCTATTTATGCACTCGCCAATTCCGAAAATTTACCACATCATTTACATAGCAAAGTACGTCCGGAATTTATATGTTTTAATGGGTTAATTTTCCTGTAATAAAAAAAATTAATGATGAAACTTTTAACAAACGGAGTCAGCAAATTAAAAAAAAAGTGGAAAATTTCAACAAGGCGATGACAAATGGGTTGTCTATTTAAAAACAAGATGTACCTAATAAAGATATCAAACATTTCTTAAAACCATTTCTAGGATATGTGGCGGAATCAGTTTGACCACAATGATACCTCATAGGAAAGCTCTTGAAAATTGATATTTAACAGTACCAAATAAATAGTTTTTAAAAGTTTTATTTTTGAAAAATACGCAAAATAATTTAATAATAATAATTTTATTTTATAATTATAAATAATAACCATTTTGTTGTCGTAAAAACATTAGAATACAACACAACACAAAATAATTTTAACAAAAGTATAATAAACTAAAAAAAAAAAATTGTTCGACAATAATCAAAACACTTTAAATTTTAGGATTTTGAATTAAATGCTCAAACTGTAAATTATTTTATAAGCAATAGTACAGTCTATCCTCAAATTCCCTTTAATTTGAAATCTTTTTTAGGTCCCGACTTATACCTACACAGTAAAAAAAATCAACTCTAAGCAACACTAATTAGAGTTCACACAGGTCCACACTAAATAGTGTGGTTTTATAACATTACAATTAGAGTTAATTTGTAGTGTAATTTTCCCCAAGTAAGCAAGTATGATTTAACACTATAGCACTGAGGATAAAGTAATTTTACACTGTATTAAAAAGTGTTAATTTACCTAAAATCGTGTACTTCTACACTTCCTGGGTAAAATCCCACTTTTGTTCAGTGTAAATTAACACTACGTTGGAAAGGTTCTAATTTTAGAAAGGTACTTTTACTCTTTTAGTGCAAACTTCTAGTGTAAATTAACACTATTATTTGCGTAAAACCCATTGGTGGTAGTGAATAAAACGAAAAGGTAAATAAAGAGAAACATTTATTTGTAACAAAAATCTATGACAATTATCAAAATCGGTGCCTTTTAAAATATAATTTTATATTTGAGTCGTATGGCTGGCTTAGGCAAAATGATTCCTTAAAACGTAAAAGTTTTAGATCAATGCAATGTTTTACTGGCTGTCAACTTGTAAGCAATTAATTATCTTGAGAATTCAACAGTTATCCATTTTTCTGTTATAAAAAATGGGTGATCCCATTGGTAGAGTGGCGTCAGGCGGCTGTATGTCGGGGATTTACCACACGTGTACAAATTTTCCATAATATTAATAAAAATGTAGGTATAGGTTAATATAACAACCATTACGCTTGAAAATAAAAAGTAAATCAAGTGTGTATGTATTTATATTATTAATGTTACAAGTACCCGACCTACTGCCGTAAATTATTGATATATAATATAGGTCGGGTATGGACATCCTTTTAACATATTGGTATTTATTGAGTATTAAGGCTTAAAGAAAAAGGAAGTATAATACTTACCAAAAAATAAGAATGTCCCCTAATGGATTCACCGTAATTAAAATCTAACTGAACAAAAATGCCACACTTCCACAACGCGGTATTTCCGGATATGCACTGCGTAGGTAGATAGGTACCAACCAAACATTTTAAAACCCATTTCGGTTATTACCAGTTTCTTTAGTCGATTTTGACACTATTGGTGTTATTTAACTTTAATTGTGATATATCACATATGTATACAATGTGCACTAGTAGTGTAAAGAATAAAGAGCTCTTAGTAACATAAAAACAGACAAAGAAATTGGCATGCACTGTAGTGTACATTTTGTGACTATTTCACACATTAAGGGGTAATAAACACTCGCATTAAGTTTTTCTATCCTTTTGATTTATTTTAATAATAAATAGTGTGAATGTACCAATGAATAATGTTCATATTCTTTAAATGTGTTTAATAAAGTTAATAAGCACTAAATGCTACCTAGTGTATTTTGTAGTGTAACTTTTACACTTACAAATCAACTCTAATATTTTTACCCCTACACTAAAAAATTTACACGGGCAAATTTTTTACTGTGTACAGCTGTATAAATTTGTTAATAATTGTTTTTTGTTTTGCATACTCAGTTAATAATTTTTAATCAAGAGAACTCTACTTTAGTTTAAGGCTACTACTACTTTAGTTTAAGGCACCTTTTTTTCAGTGTATTTATTTAAACTTATTTATTTATTTAAAAAAAAACTAACAAATTCGGTATCTTCTACATACTTTAATTAAAAGTGAGTTTGGCCTGATTTCGTGTAGGCCTTTGCTGATAGACGCCCGTGTGTTGGACAAGAGGCGAATCGTGGGTGTCACAAACCAGATTTTCATTCAAGTTTCTTCTCGCCTAAACGACGAACGGCGCTTCGCATCTCGCCTGAATTTATATCCACGATTTAACCATACGAACCAAAAAAAAATACGAAAAAACAACGAAATAAAATATACACGATATTTCGCCAAAAACACCGTTTCTTTGCGCGGAGACTACAACAGTGGATCTGACGACGAAACTTTTCGATAAAAAGGTTTTTTATTTCAGATTGAAGAACAATAGAATTGTTTTTTTAACGTCTATTTATTTATGTACAGGGTGTTTCATGGTCCAAAAGATATCGAATTAAATTTTTTTTAGCAATTATAATATCATTTAAACTAATTTTATTACTATATATTTTTTTTCAAAAATGATCGTATGAGCGGTTTTTCATGTTTTTCTTAAAATCACTTATCCTGCAAATACAGAGTTGTGCATCTAATGTACTCAAGAAGAGCAATTTTGTTAAAAATAATTAGATATACCTGTAGGTATATCTAATTATTTTGAACAAAATTGCTCTTCCGGTTTTAACGGAAGCGATATCAACTTTGTTATTTTAAATGGTTCAGCATAGCTTTTTAACATTTTTAAATTCTTCTTCATCAAACTCAATAGTTTTTAAGTTATTAGTTTTGTTTGTAAAATTTGGTCAGTTTCACCCTCAACAAAAAAAGCTTATTACTTTTTTAATATTAGGTTTGCTAATATATAAGATACTTAAAAATTTAGTATGAATAACAAAACTCCTGAATCAAATATTTGAGTAATTTTATTTTAAAATATATTCAATTTATTTTAAATTTTTCAATTTCACTACAAACTATAAAACATTAAATAATTTATTTTTCATATTTTATCATAGATTCGAATAATAGCAATTTTAAAAAAATTGAT